CAGAGGTACCGTCTCCACGTCGGAAACCATGGACCGGTGGCGCGGCGGGGTAGAGGTGCTGGTGCGGTCGCTGTGGTCTTCGTTGGTCGGGTACGGACACACATCCCCGGCGATGAAGAAGGTGTCGATCTCGTTCTGGAGACTGGCGATGATGCTGTTGGAGCTGTCGGACGCCGCCAGCGACTGGTGAGGCGGTGGCGGTGGCGGTACGTCGGGTAATGACGGGGTGGGGTCGTCGTCGTCGCCTATCTCCTTTATGGTAGGCGGCAGCGGCGGGGTATCCTGAGGTGGTGGCGGGGGAGGCCGGGTATGGGGTTTCAATGGTCTTGATTCAGGCGGGGTCGGTGGTGAGGCGGCTGAGGGCGCCTCGATAGTGCTATTTGCCGATACCGAGCGAGACCCGCCGCCGAAGAAGAACTCATCGTCGGAGCCGTCGAGATCAGGCGGTGGTTTGCGGGATAGCCGCTTGGTGCGATTCAGCAGAGGTGACACCAAAGGGGATGGTTGCGGAGACGATTGGGGCGATATCCGGGCGGTTGACCGTGGCTGCTTCGGGGTCGCCGGCGCCATTGGCGCCGCTGCCAGCGGCGGATGCAGCTGAGTAAACGTTTTCAGAGGCACCGATCCCGCTGAGGGGAGCCTCGAGGGTGATTTGGGTAGTGTCAGCGACGATTGGCGAGACAGCAGTGGCGATTTGAGGTGGGTAGACAGTGACAGCGACGGTGCTCGGGGCAGCTTGGGCGCCGGGCGCGACCCCGGGACCGCGAGCGACGACGACTTGTCGCTGTCCCCACCAAATATCGACAGGATGCGGTGGCCAAGGCGCTTGGAGGTGCGCTTCCCGTCCATGGCGCAGAATGATTGTTCGACGGCACCACTTAGTCTTAGGGTTCACGTTCAGAGTGTTTTTTCCAGTTTGCGTGCGTACTGCAGACAGACCCCCCATTTAATCCTCTACGACATCGCGCAGACGCCCTCACACCGGACCAACTATTTAATAGCGGGGGAAGCCCAGATCAACTGACCTAATAGATAAATGGGGGATTTGGAATTTTGAATTAAAATGGTAAAGTATCTTCGTTTTGTGACTACTCCGACTAGTCTGTAATCATTTAGTTTCATTCGAGGGTGAAACATGCCATTACATCAGCGGACGATTGTCGCTGGCAGTCTCGTCAACTTAGACGAGGACAATGGCCCCAAGGAACGCCAGGGAATGCGCGTTCTCGAGCCAGACACACGCGAGTGGTTAACAGATTAGGGGTTATGCTCGACGATATGGCTTCTGGTAGATTAATGGACCGTGGAGACGGTCGTGTCAGCCTTGAGACAATATGGATGCAAGCATCTGAGTGATCAATTGACTTGTCTATGGAACTTATCGTCAAGTTCTGGCGTTGCCGAGAGACAATTGGATTGTTTGAGCGTGTTGTAGGGTGGCGTGTCCCTTTGGAACCCGAGGGGCTTGTGCCGTGCTCGTCTAATTCTGTGAGTGGTATAAAAATGCCTTGAAGTAACCCTGGAAATTTGGTTGTCTTGCTAATGGAGAAAGCATCTGACAAAACTATGGGTGTGATGACCTCCACTGAACCCGAAATGGCTAAGGCCACGGAAACTGAGACCGTGTCTACCGCTGAGTCGTCCAAGCCTCGAGCGACTTTGAAGCCTAAGGCCACTGATAATGTGAAGGAAGCCAGTGAATCTGAATCCGATGACGCTGAAGCTGAGCCCAGATCGCCTGTCTCTGAACCCGAATCGAAGACGCCTGAAGCTGACTCGAAATTGCCTGAACCCGCTGCCACTGAGGAGACTATGAAGCCAGCCGGAGCCGAGTCTGGGGCTAATGATGGTACTGACAGAGATGCAATCATGGCTGATGCCCAGGTGGAAGAGCCCAACACTGGTGAAGTTGTGTCTGAGGATATGACGGCAGTGGAAGAAGGCTCGGAAACGAAGACTACTACTTCTGACACCACCGACGACCAGACTATCGGCGACGAAGCCACTGCAATTGACATCGCCATCGTCGTTGAAGCTGACGTCGATGGAGGTGACGACGACGAAGGTGACACTGTTGGTGACACCGTTGATGCTTCTGCTGACACTCCTACTGACACTATTGCTGAAGCCCCTGCTGAAGCTGGTATCGAAGACAAGCTGAATGAAGAAAAAGAAGAATCTGCTTTTAAGCCTAAAGACGACGTTGGCAACAGCGACGAAGCGGCTGCAGTTGAGCCCTCGTCTTCTGTGAACGTCGAATGAACGAATTCTCTCAAATTTGGTGCCCAGTTATTCTCCCGAGTTATCTTTTTTTTTTTTTTCTATTTTCGGTTTTATTTTTGTATCCGTTGTGCTAGTTTAAGTTAGTTAGTTTTAGTGAAAGTATTGTGCGGTCATTTTTTTGTGGTAGACTATTGATCTGTTCAAGATACAGATATGCAATTGGACCCGCTGGTGTGGGTTTGATAACCGTGACAAAAGCAATGGACAAGAGTGTCTGTTGGGATAATGGAGAAGTTTCTGAACTTGCAAAAAGTAGGTCCTACCCGGATTCGAACCGGGGTTGTTCGGATCAAAACCGAAAGTGATAACCACTACACTATAGAACCGAATTACGAATTTTTGAAAACAGCTCTTCTGAATCGCACATGTTGTCATTGGGATTTTGAATTTTGCGATATCAAAGCGTACAGCTAGTATAGTTTGCCCTGAGATATAAAAATTAGGTTAGCTGCACTATAAGTGTCGCCCAAGGCAAGTATCCCCGCCTAGTCCTCTCACAAGCGATGGCAAAATTTTGCAAAATCAATGTTAACAGTAATGGCAGTGTAACCACTGCTTTGGTCACTTAAAGTGATGTGGGGTTGCTTCTGAAGATGAAATGGTTAAAGTTAACGTTGTTCATGATGATTCAAGATCCTGAAGCACCGTTGCATGTGCTCATACCGTCCGCCATTGATCCGGACCGGACTCAGTGGCAGTGAGATCAAGTCAGACGTAGCATCCATCCCAACCCACAATCATCACCTCCATTGCGAGCAAACCATGCTCGATTTGGTATACTTTCAAACTCATGGCATGATATGATGCCAACCACCACGAAGTCCACAAAATGGCTGATAACTGGTGGTAGTCGGAGCCCATCAAAACTCACATCATTTGAAACAATCAAGTCGAGAAAGGACAACAACAACTGCCGTTGAATATGATCTTTAGTCAGCTGCACAACGTATATCTCCAGGTTTCCTCATTGTTTTTGGAGGCAATGACTTGTGCAATTTCAGCAACAATCACACTTTTAACAAAACCAAACTCATCAACTAACACACACTCTCTCTGAATTCCTCACAGCAAGCGTCCAGTCTCCCACTTGTTGATAAATATCTTCTAAGGGAAGCGAAAGATCCACGTGTGTCGGTGGAATCATCGATTGTACCCCGCATTTTACATCGTCATGGCGACATACACATGAACCTAAATAGAGACATAATACGTGGATTAAGCAGACAATAATAGACACAAGAGAAATGTCGACAAGCCAACGAACTCCACACTTCGCCAATCGCTTGCTGACAACTCCAAAAACTACTCATTCGCCACGCAGTCTTTACACGCTTCGGCTTTAGCGGAACCAGCCACACACGCTCCGGCCTTATCGGAACCAGCCACACACGCTTGCCCCTCAGTCTCCTTCTTCTCAGTACCAGTAGTCAAACCCGTAGTGGGATACAGCGAGATGTGGTGGCCCACTTGGGCGCCGATCTCGTTTTTGATGAGCTGTTTGAGGAATTTAGCATCGGGGAACCCCAGGTGCCAGTAAGGCTCAGTCATCGTTTCCCCGTATTTCGCGGCAAGCTCGGGTTTATTGAATTTGCGTTTGTATAGGGGCTTCTTCGTATCAGTGTCTGTAGTGAGATACACGCCAAACACCCCGGGGGAATCGTACACGGGGACCAACGTGATCGCTCCAAGACTGCCGTCAAACGTCTGTAAGAGCTCCTGGAGGTACCACACCGCCCGCTGCTGCCATTTGCACTTGGCGCAGTACTCAATGGTTACTTGCGGAAGCAGCATTAGGGGCCCCTAGATCAAAGGGAGCCGCACTATCGGCCGCGAGCGAAGGTGGATGACCATGGCCAGGGTCCCGCAACCGAAAATAATAATGTGATTTGCCGTGACTCCTAACGGTGTGGGTGGGGATGATGATGATGATGATGATGATGCTGTGTATTTCTAAACTATGACAACTCCGATCTATGCAGCTGGAATCTAGGTTTCTAATGGCGGTTCGTATTCATGAAGTCGTCACTTAAAAAGTCGTGCGGGGTAAACGGGGTCTTGGACTCCATCATCTTCTTCAGCACCAGTGAGTAAGTGCCGATCAACAGGGGGATGAGGGTAGGGTCGTGAGGGAAGGCTGCTTTATGCAGAGTCGATTCAAGGGCCAGGCGCGGCTCGTGGTAGCTATAAGTAGTTACCGAACGAGACACGTAGTGCGACGGTGGGGGGCTAGTGGTGTAGTTAGCCCACGAATTGCGGTGTCCAATCCACTTAGGGACCACGGGAGCTGGTGCTAACAACAGTGTCGTTTCCAGAGGGCACAGGTCTTCGACGGCAGGAGCCTGCACTTCAAACGGGTACCAGTCACTAGTATTCAGCGATACTGGCTGCGGTGCTGCCACGTAATGGTCGAATTGATGGATCTGGTAGCCAGCGACAAGGGCTAGCATAAGCGAGATGATTGTCATCACTGAAAATGCTATAGGCGACGGCAAGCCGAACCCTTCGGCTACGAGCCACGAGGCTCTGGAAACGACCAGTAAAAGCACAAACGTCACCAGCATATCCAGCACCAGTTGAAGCACTTGGTTGCGACGTATTTGAAGGGCCCACGCAAGCACATGGCACCCTGCCCATAACCATACGAGTACCGTTATGGGGGCGTCACGATCTTGTAATAGTCCAGGATACACAGGAGCCGCTTGTACTCGTGAAGCAAACACCACTGACGCCACCACCGGCGACACTTTAGTCACGATATTTGAGTGATTCATCTTAAACCACTGGGCGACAAGCCCCGCATCAACAATGCAAAGATAGACGAAAAAAGCCACCACAAACAACGGTGCCTGACTTTCAATGGCTGCAATGAGGGCAAAGGCGTCGCCCATAAGCCAGAGACGGAAGAACCACGGCGAGATGCCAGCTACCAGCGAGGTTGTGTGGCTCTTATACCACTGAGACAACGGGGCGATAATCCCCGTGGCCATCAGCACCACCGCTGCCGCCAATGCAATTTCCACGCTCATGGTTGCGGTGTGTCCATTATTTGTGAAATGGTCAATTTGTAGGTCTAGGGGACGAGGGAGATGGGCATCTTTATATACGGCTGGTGTGGAAGCGGGGAGTCACTGGTGCGGGTGTTTTTGTGGCATGTGTGGAAAAATAAATCGGCACCGCTTGCAGAAATGAGAGGAGGGCAGAGGAGAGGCAACCGGTGATTTCTGGGGCAATTTCCACCAGAAAGCAACCAGACGGGATTCCTATGGATTCTAGAACAAAGGCAAAGCTTCTGGAGGTGGTAGAGCCAATCCAAACCGCTGTTGCCGGTGTTATCGTCGAGCTTATCTCTCAGGCGTGACGGATGTGCGATGCAGTTTCACTCGCCCGACATTATTATTGTGGAACAATAGGCCGAGAGATCATCACGACGACAGCGAATTACAATTCCACCGCCAGCACCCTGTAACCACGTCGACAACGAGTCCCTTCGCGGGAGCAGTGACGTTGTGAAGATTAAGGTGAATCATGAGGTATAGTGAAAATTTGAGATCCGTTGGATCCGAAATTTCCCCTCAATGGCATGATTAATTTACTCTGACAGTAATTCTTCGCTAATCAGGTTTACGCTGGTAACCACGTAGTTCGAGTGCATGCACTCATTTTTTTTTTTTCGACCAGCGTGGGGTCAGTCAGGTCGGTCGCCCCCTATTATTTCTCCGACATTATGACTAATTATTCCAGTGGTGGTGATGAGTGGTTATCCCCATGTGATACGAATTTTTTCTTTGATGAAGGCTTAGGTGTAAGAGGCGATATTACCTACAGTGTCGCGATGAGTCACATATTTCGTAATTGCACACTCATTCTTCCGGTGAGTGAATGAAGACAAAAGCGTTCGCACCGTTTCTTACCGCTCACAGGAAAAAGTGTGTGAAATCGTGGGAAGGAATTGGAATTAAGCCGCACGAAAAATCGCGGGTGCGCTCCGTGATATACACCACCGCACAAGAAAGGCAATGGAGCTTCTACCGGAGGGCCAAAAGAACACCACCGAGGTGTTGTTTGAGGACCAGAAGAAGATTAACAAGTTCTCGCTGCTTATAAGCAACAAGGACGAGTTGGAAGCTCAGCTAGCGCTGCTCAAACTGGAAAAGGAGTACTGTGGCGACTTGGAGCTTGAACTCGAGTTATTGGACGAAGACGACAAAGTACAGTACAAAGTCGGCGACGCCTTTGTTTTCTTGAAAGTGGAGAGCGCCGTGAAGCGAATTGAGGCCGAAAACGAACGTCTTGACGCCAAAATCGACGAGATCGACGGCGAGATCGACGCCATCGACACCCAGTTGCTGGAGTTGAAGGAGCAATTATACGCCAAGTTCGGCAACAACATCAACTTGGAGCGCTAATCACATTCCTAAGCAAAAATCATATCCTGTATTTATACAACGTCTACAACATCAAAATGGCATAACTAAAGTTCGTTTATGTTTGGTTTGACCAGAGCTTTTGAGACTTCTTGTCTACGGCTCTTCGAGCTTGATGTAGGACTCCCACGACATGCTCTCGTAGTCTTCAGGCTCGAGCGGCGGGGCAGCGACGTGGTGCTGGGGCAACCGCCGCGAGCTGTTGCGGATGTGGCCGAACCCCATGAGGCGCCCGGCTTTTAACCGCAATTGCGAGAGCACCTGGACGTAGCCCTTCTTCACGGTGAGTCTCGTCACTTTTAGGCGAGGGGAGGGGGGTCAGCCGAGAGGCGGTGGCGACAAGCGTATCAGTGTAGGCGTGGTCGGGGGAATGGCAACGGTAGGTTCACTTGGCAAATTGAAAGAAGGACCAAGTGGTGTGGGTGGGATATGGCGGGGGGTTCGGCTGCTTATAAAACCCCCTAAAGGTCTAGATCACCCCTAGTGTGCCACTATCATCTTCTAACGGGGGCGTGGCTCGTAACGACATGTATTACAACTATGTACGGTTAGTCACACCCACAGCAGCTAACTATATCACTCTCGCTTAGCGCTACCGCTGGCGGAGCTAAACATAGCCTCCGCGGGATATATGTGACACCGCACGATCTCGCGTACGCTTGCTCCTACGTGAAAGTCAGACAACGGTTGCCGCCCTCCGTTGCTATTCTACTAATTTCCGTTTCCTTATGATCAGTTCAATTAAATGATAATAGGGGTTTAATTCGCTCGATGCACCGAATAAGGGGCACCCCCGTTTAGTGCTGCCTCCTTGCCGAAGCTTCCTGAGATAGCAGCCCCTGAGAAATGAGCAGAGAGAAAAACGCCTGTATAATAGATAAGCACCGCCGGATGAATCAGCGGCGCTATATGAATATTGCGCGCAGGTCTAGACTTTAGCTCCGCTAGGCGCCGGGCCGAGGACAATGGCGAGGCGCTGGCAGTGTGGTGTTTGCTACGTCCGCGATAGGGGGTGCGCCTCAGACTAAACGGTAGCTAGCGGTGTAATTGTACGCAGGGCGGGCTATTTTTGGTAGCAAAAATGATCTCTTTTTCTTATGTTACACACGTCAATGCTCTGACCGTCGTCATTAATTATACAGCGTTCACTTAGAGGGGGATATACGGGGGAGGGGACGATTTTACTCGGCATCGCTGTCCTCGTACTCGGGAATCTCGTCATCATTAGCAGCGGGCCGCAGGCGTTTTGCCGGCGGCTCGGCGGCGGGGGCCGCTGCCAGCGGCTCGGGGCGCTTGTGCGGGTGGGGAGCCGAGTTACCACCCCCAGGGGCGGGGTGGCGGTTACGCCACGAGCGCCGGATCACGGCACACATGTCGATCACCTCCTTCTCCTTGACCCCGTCCTTGATCGAGTTGAGGATTTTCTCCACCACCGTCACGTGATTGCCGTTGCGCTTGTCGTTGCGGAACCGCATCATCTCCCACCGTCCAGGGTGGGTCTGGCTCTTGATGCACTCCATGATGCGCCCCTGAAGCGGTTGGTTGAGCGCTTTAAGCCGTTCCCAGTCGCTGTCGGTGAGCTCGAGCTCGGTGAAGTTGCTGTGGATGTTGCCGCCCTCCCACACCTTTAAGTGGATGAGGTTAGGTTTCAGGTCGTAGTCGGTGTAGGTGGAATCAGGGTCTTTTTCGTCCTTGTCGGGATCTTGGGCTTTATTCCACACAAACTCCACTTTGAAGTCAATAGTGTTTTCGTCGGCCGGTTTCCACTTGAGTAAAGTGGGGTCGGTGCCGAACTTGTAGGCCAGCTCGGCACAGGTGAAGATAAGCCCGTCGGACTCGTGAAAAAGGCGGTCTTTCATCGCTAACACTTCGTCAGCATGATAAGCGGAAAGCATCTGTTTCACGCTCACTTTAAACGGGAACAGTGGCAGCCCTACAATCTGGGGGTGCCGGAGCTTGAACTTGTCGAACGGCTTCTGGAAATGTTGCACCAAGTGGCCCAATCGCAGCGTCAACGGCTTCTCCACGAGTCGCATTCCGTTCATGACAAGAGCATCGAAAATACAGTAGCGGAGATAGGGCTCGGACACGTTCTTGTTTTCCAATACCAACTCGCCATCGAGTAGGGTGCCGTGGTGGTAGGTTTTGCGGTCGTCGGTCTCGTCGACGGACGAGGGGAAGTGGATGTTGGGGATGTGCCAGAACTCGTTCTCTCTGGTTATGAGGAACACGCCTTCGCCCTTCTCGGGATCGTTGATGATGAACAAAAGACACCGCAACCCGTCGGTCTTCTCACACACAAAGTAGTCCCGCTTCAAAAGGAACTCGCCAAAGTGTTTCCGCTCAAACAGCACCGGCTGCGACCCGGCGAAGTTGACGTTGGTGCGCCCGAGAAGCTCCGCCACCAAGTACTGGAGCTCCCGCGTGTCGTCCTTGCCGAGCTTCGTCCCAGGGATCTGCGGGATGTCCCTTTCCTCGAGTTGTATCATGGCGCTGGTGACGATAGCGCGCGCGGTCGCGGAACTAAAACAAAGAGACGTGACTCCGTGACAGAAACCACAAGGCAAACAGTGAAGGCCACTATCGAAGTGAGTTACCAAATACGTTATTTGAAGACTTAAGTGGATTACACGTGACTCATTATTCGCATATATCATGAGATTGTCGCCTCAAATCGTGGGCGATGCCCCCAAAGTGCTCACTCCCGAAGGCGAGCTTGCCCTAATATTGAGGCTGCTCCAGCTCACCGACCTCGAGGATATCGGCGTCACCCGAGACCAGTACGACGTCATCGACCTCACGTCAAATTTGGTACTGGTGGTGGACAATTTCCCCCCTCACTTCCGCCGGCTATCGACGTTGTTGCTTGCCAATAACCCCATCGTTGAGATTGCAAATAACCAGCACTTCCCCAGCATCCACCTGCTTCTGCTAGCCAATACCAAGCTCACGTCGCTTAAGCTGTTACACAATAAGTTCCCTAATCTCCAGTACCTCGTGCTTTCCGGGAGCCCTATCCCTCCGAGTTACCACCTTCTTGCGGTATGGATGTTTCCCACATTAAAGTACCTTGACCATAATCCCGTGACGGCCAAACAGCGAGCTGAGGCCCTTGAGAAGTATGGCGACCCTGAAAACCCGAAACCAACCGTATACCAAGATCTAAATGCCGTGGTTGACCATATCCCTGAAACTAGTGGCTCTACGGGAGTGGCGCGAGCGGTGGTGAAAAAGCTTACTCCCGCCGAGAGGAAACTACTTTTGGCACGGCTTCTGCTGGCAGATACCATTGATGAAATTGATGCCATTGAAGCAGCATTATATCAAGGGTCGGTGGATGCTGGCGATGAGGCGGCGTGAGCTATTCGCTCGGACTGCACAGTACGTTCAAGTTTCCGGGCTCGCAACGGAAACATTTCCCGCGATGGCTATCAATTCGCAGCGAACACCCACCACCACCACCACCACCGCCACAGGCAAGAGTTTAACATTAAAGCACTATTTGAGTTTGCCTAAATGATGGGGTTAGTCAACTAACTCGAGTTACTCTTTATTTATATTAATTTTGGCGTATTTCCGCCAGGACCCCTTTTTCACCAGCAGCCACTATTCCACTAATTTATTATATTCGACTACAAACACATAAATACCGACACATCAACGTCAATCATTCCCATTACTAATAGCGTGTGGCCTGGCTATTGCTTTAGGGGCACCCTCGGCCAAGAGATACACAAAAATCTAGTGCCTTACTCCCCACCCTTAACGGCCTATCCAGCCTCGTAAACCAAAGTCTAAACCACTCATTCTACTGCTTTCATCACCATATGGCTTCGCCGGCCAAGAATCTCGTCCGACAATCTCCCGTGGCGTTACTGCATGTACTCCTCCTTTGTCGTCTGAAATTTAGGGCTTGGGACTGTCCACAATAACCAACCAGCAAAATTTGCCAGCGGCACAAAATTCGAGGAAACTGATCACTAACCGTCTGTAACACCTAGTAACATTTATACATGATCCTCTATAGAGTCACTAGTCGTTTATTTCACTCGTAATCCATCCCGGGTACGACCTCCTATAGCAGACACCCGCCCGCGAATTTTTCCTCTTCATGACCCCTGCCACCCGTCCCAAACGGAAGGCAGCGACGAATAAGAGCTATACCTACGACGATCCGGGGCTCCACGATGCGTTGCTGGCGGCAAAACCGGCGAAACCGCTCCCGCCGCTGACGAATGGCACCACGCCCGGGTCGAGTCACCGCAAGCGCAAGGGGGCCGTGGTGCTGCCAACGAAGCCAGTGATGAACTGGCAGCCTCCCGAACAGCCGACGGACCACTTCAGCAACCGGTTGGACTTGTCGGGAGCCTATGTCGACGTCGACAAGCAGCGGTTGGTGTGTCCCCAGCATGATGAGCCCCTCCCGGAACTGCCGTGGATAAAGCCTTCAAAGCGCCCGTTTACTCTCGACAAAGGCGACTATATCTATATGGTGCTGGAGCCTCCTGGAGAGCCCTACTATATCGGCCGAATCATGGCGTTCTCCCCGAAACTGCCTCATCTCAAATCAGAGCATGGCAAACGCGCCCCCGCCAAGGAGTTCCAGTTCCGTATCCAGTGGTTCTATCGCCCGAGGGACATCCTGAAACTGACGTCAGACCTGAGACTTCTCTTTGCTCTGATGCACACCGATTGTTGTCCTCTTAGTAGTTACAGAGGTAAAGTGGTGGTGAAGCACAAACTGGAGATTGAGGACTCTGGCAAATCCCAAAAGGGTCAAGCGAACCGGGCCCTGACGCCGCTGGCGGCGTTGGACCACTACGCGCTGTTCCCCCTGCATTTCTACTTCGATAAGTTGTTTGACCGGTATATGATCAAGTTCTATGATGTGTTGGCTACCGCTCAATTACTCGATGTGGGGAAATCTGAGGGGCTGCCCCTGGCAAGCTACGTCGAGGCTTTACACAAACGGTTTGCCTACGTGTTCTGTGAGACGCTGAGGACAAAACTGCTATTGGAGGTGTTGTCTCTGGCACTGAACAATTGTGAGGCGTGTGGTGGGTTCTGCGATCGAAACGACGACGTGGTGGTGTGTGGTGAGTGCGATAAACACTTCCACATGTACTGTCTTGACCCTCCATTAGTGAAGAAGCCGCTGCGTGGGTTTAGCTGGACGTGTGCCAAATGTACCCGTCACCAGCGATTAGCCCACCATGCTAAGCGATTACTCATGCTTTCTGCCGATAATAAGCTGCTGAACGAAGACGATTTGGTGCTGGAACTTAGTGCCCTCGAGCCAGCACCGCCTCAGAATGATCTACCACTACTGCTGCGGCTGGAGACTCCCGTCGACCATGTCCCCGTATATGAAGCCAAGGCCCGTGAGTTCTTAGCTCAGGATAGTGAGAACTCCTTCAACCAGCGACGGCTCCAGGAAGAGTGGCTGATGCGGTATTTGGGGATGCACGCTCGCCTTGAAGATGGGGTGGACGTCGACGACCGTAACCCTTATCCTCGAGCTCTGACCCGTCTCGGAGGACGTCACCAGGCAAGCTTGGTGCCTGAATGCAACGACCACCCTGTGGTGTACTATGACCGCAAAACCACGGCAAAGCCAAAGAAAACGGGAGGACGGCGGAAGAATAAGGCCGAAGAGGAAGAACTTAAGCCGTTACCGGTACCTGAAGAATACGCGGATACTCCACCGAGCCAGTACCCCGAATGGCTTCAACCTCGTCCCAAGGGGTATATTGAGCGAGGCGTTGACGATGGTGACGGAGAAACGTGTACACTTTTATGGAAGTCGCTGGAGCTCGATTTGCAGGACAATTTCGCCGCCCACGACGCCTATGTCGGTGAGTGTGCTGCCGTAGCGAAGAAGCTAGGTCTCCTGGAGAACTCGCCTAATTTCTGCGACTTTGTCACCCGTCTGTGGATGGAGTGTGAAGGGCTGTTGCCTAAGGCTCTTAAGAGAGTTAAAGCAGTCACTTTAACTGATCTCCAAGAGCCTCAATTCACTCCGGAAGAAGTGAAACGGTTCGAACAGGGGGTGACCAAGTACGGCCTGGAGTTGTACCCCGTCTCCAAGATGCTCAAAAGTCAGCCCACATCGATGGTGGTGAGGTACTACTACTTATGGAAGAAGACCCCCAACGGGCGCCGTATTTGGGGTGGGTTTGAAGGCCGTCGCCATAAGAAGCTCCAAAACGTCGTCAGTGAAGAGAAAGCAGCCACCACTGCCAATACTACTAAAAATAAGGGGGACGAGCTTGCTGACCCTGACGATGATCTGGGCTACGACGAACAAAAGACAGTCACGTGTGCCATGCAGTGCAAACACTGTGGTACCAATCGGCTGACGAAGTGGTTCCGCGTCACTGGAGGTGGTGCCTCTACTGTTGAGGGTAGTCGTAAAAAAGGGCCAGTATTTGGTCTTTGTCGCCGGTGTGCTCGTCTCTGGAGACGGTACGCCGTGATGTGGGAAGACCCTGAAGAGATTGAGCTACGCCTGCAAAAGCTTAGTAAGCGTCGCGTGGAGCCAGAGCTTGCTGCTGATCTGGCCGCCATCCTAGCCCACGGTCCCGAAACCGCTGATGAGATTCAGTCCGATCTGCCTCTGAAATCACAATCGTCGCAAGCGTCAAAGGCGAGCTCAGTGGAACCGGTGGCTAAGGCTAAAGCGGTGTCTAAGAGGTCTCAACGAGCCCGGTCCCGTAAGAGAACAGCCCCTTCGCCTGAACCTACTGAACTGGCAGAGCCTGAAGCTACTCCGGACCCGTTACCTCCACCGACTCCTGAACCGGAACTTGATGCTAGCCCAGTGAAAAAGGAGAAGATGGTAACAGTGAAAGTGAAAGCCGAGTCTGAAACCGAGCCACGCCACAAGGCTAAGCGGGCTAAATTACCCGAGGTTCCTCTTGACATTACTGAACGCAACTTTTTGGTCAATCCCAACTACAAGGAGCCCCTGGCGGAGCCTAATATTCTCAGAATGATCCAGGAAGGTGATGCGTCGGCGGAGGATATCGCTGCTGGTCTCGCCCACTGGAAAATCACCCAGAAGATGTTGGATACTGCCCACTTGAACCTGCTTTCCCTTCCTGAAGGCGTGGAGATCGCCATCCCGTCACTGGATGTTAACGTTTGTCAATTCTGCCAGATACAAGCCGAACCTAAGGAGTTGCTTATTTGCCTGTTGTGTCGCGTAAGTGTCCACCCTCTGTGTGCCGGTTTGCTGATGCCAGACAAGCTTCCCAAGCCTGTGTACGAGTGGATCTGCGATGGGTGCACTAACGACATCAAGCCCTTCCAGCTGCCCCATTACACATGCTGTTTGTGCCACAAGGAAGACGAGACAAAGGCATTGCTCAAACCAGTGGTCGACTCTGGTCGCTGGTGCCACGTGGACTGTCTCGTGTACGCTTCGACTAAGGTGATGTGGCGACCACCGCCTCCTAGTCTTCTCTCCAAAAGACGACCCACGCGCGCTGAACTCAAGAAGGCCACAAACGTCACCGATTCCATCACACCTGTGGTGGTGGTCGATCTGGTGACGCTGGTGCTTGTGGCTAACCATGACCGCAAATGTAGCCTTTGTCACAAGGTTAACGGGACCTTGGTCACTTGTGAATTCGACGGGTGTGACTTTTGCGTCCATCCAACATGCGCTAAGGGCGATTCGAGATTTGCCTTGGGGTTCGTCGTCGACCCTACGTCACCTGAGACTCAGGGCTCCGTGAGGGTAGAACCCGAGTCTGCGGATAGCAGCGACGGCACTACACCAACAAAGGACGACAGCACCACCCCTGAAGCAAAAACGACCTCCGCTGCTGTCTCTATCGGGAAATTACGGCCGGCTCTTTGTTGTCGCGATCATGGCGATAAAGAAGTGTTCTCATGGCGGCACAAGGGCCGCCGAAGTGCCAACTCGGGGCCAGCTCGCCCGTTGATCCAGTTGTTTTGGGAAGACACCTCGAAGCTCGTTACTAAGTTGACTGGGGCCCAGGCTCGTCTGGCACAATACATCGACAACTACCTTGCATTCCATAAGAAGTCGACTGGATTTGACACGAACGTGGGCACTGGCAACACCTGTGCTAAATGCAGCACCACCATCAGTCCCATTTGGTTTGGCACCGACGAAAAGGTGTGCTTGCGTTGTCACCATGGCGTTAAAGCCGAAGAGTTGGGCGATCAACTTAAGAAGACTTTATTGCAGCCGTTGCTGGGGGAGAACTATGGCATCATGGACGATAACGATAGAGTGACGGCTCCGGTTCCTCAGCAAAGCTGAATCATTCACGCGTTTACCAAACTCTTCAGTCAGAGACTCTTGCATAGAAATCATACACTAGATATACTCCACGGCTGACGTAGTTGATTATCACTTGTCTTAGCAGCCATAACGGTTAGATCCCTCTGTGTTCCCTTAACTGTTGTTTCCATCAACTTCGACGACAACGAAATAAAATTGGAAGTATAGCTAGAGATTTGCCAACCAATGTAACCCTTTATTCAAAATAAGCGAGCGTTTATTGAGTTGATGAAAGATTAGGCGGTTGCTTCATCATGGCCAATTTTGATGTTGCCTAATGGTGGAGTTTCAGCGAAAGTTGCACTTGAATGAGTGGTTTTTCTAGACTAACAGTGCAGCACCTCAGCATTAGAGAGTGTGCTTCTGCACAAACAAATTGTCTTTAATTTCTGAAAGCTTTTTTGGTTCAAGAATTCGCGTCAGATTGAACTCTTACCAAAACGCATGAGTCCAGCAACGCATGCGTTGATAAGTCATTTGAACACTGCCGCCAATCATGGATTCACTAATAAAGTATCATCTTACTAGGACGATCAAACAACTTCTTTGGGTCATAACTCTCACGACGACTCATTTTTCCCTCCCGAAACTTTATCTTCATGACGACTAGGCACAACAATGTATGTAATCGGCACCATGAGAAGCCTTAAAAATCCATTCTGCTCACTATGACACGCGGATTATCGCTCAGCATATTGTCAATGGGTTTTTGACCAATTAAAATCGGTTTTCTTGAAATGTTAGGTGGTGCAAGTGATGATTGTGCATTTGGGATTTCTTGTTGAGCCATACACACGACGATATTTGTTGGCAAATGGAGGCTTTTGAAATCCGGCTGAATGCTGAATGATTGACACACTGGCATAAATTGGCAAGTTCACGGACGTGTGATGTCTTGTGTGCTCGATGCAATCAACTGAGTCGGAGGAATGAAACCCAATAACTCCGTTCAATACCCTGATATGACCAATTTCAACGACAACTCAACACAAGGAAATTCTTAATCATCGTGTTCCAGGCATAGTTGTCCCCGAATTATAACCTCGGCTATCATCTCGTGGTATTTCCCTTGTGATCCTGGCGTTGATCCTTTTGTGAAACTTGGTGCATTGACCTACCTCTGAAATAACATGATCAATCTTGGGGGATCGCCGGGTCGTCAGCGTGGTGAAATGTCACTATGGAAATGGTGCCCAGGCCAAAGTGATGAATGATTACTCTTGAACCAGCTTCATGGTGATTTCAGGCCACAGCACATTAATACTAGGTGCCGGTTTTGTGTGACTATGGTGCGGCAAGGTGTAAAACCTTAAAATTTTCCCTGACATTGTGACCCAATTCACTTCGCTGATAAATCGGCTCGCTTTCGACAAACGTACGAGTGGCTTGAGTTCACTTGCTTGGGGTCGAGCTACACAAAAATGGATACAGTTTCCGAAACTTTCAATTGCAATCAGCCACACCAGCCGATTGCCAAATTTAAGGTCGCAAGGCAACTTTCAGAGTGCATGATACGATGATAACCGTAACTAATCCCACGTTCGACGTCCCAAAAGCTCTATGCGTTCATCAAGTGAAACAATTCGTTATGTATCAGCAACGAATCAACACCGGTATGTATGATGCTTGGGGGCTAAATCGCCTTGCTTCTGTCTTCTGGGTTTATTGACTTATTACACGCTTCAATCAATTATGGTTGTATGAAGGAAAGTTGAAGCACCGCGGTATTTTCAACCCCGTGAAAATATAATGGTCCATTGAGTTTGAGTATAGTTGTGACTAGTGACAAACGGGAAAATCAGCACAAATCAACCGGTGCCCTCACTACCCGAAGCAGCCGTCAAAAAGCATGGCGAGATAACTTTTACGATCGATTAGAGTACGAAATGCCGCTAGAACCTCGGAACAATATACATGCATTAGGATTTACCGATGTGGTGGCAGCTGCCCAATAGGTGACTGTCACTCGGGAAGCAGCTAAGGAGACCGCCACAATTGGCAGCAGCGTCGCTAGGACAATGTGAAACGTGGATGGTACCGATCCGTGCCAATTAGACAAATCCAGCTTAATCCCGGTAGCGGTGGTTAAGCCTTCGGAGGCTTTGTGCTGCGTACCGACGCACAAAAAGCCTCACTAACGACGCTCATGGACAGATAAAATTCCCCGGCCCAATAAGCACACGACATAATGGTGCTATATTGGACACAAATCCCCCATGATCGGTGGTCAAGTATTCGCCGTATATCCCTCGCTGGACTAGATTGTACGCAAATACGGCGTTTTGCCCGTGGGCAAATGCAGACGGATGCTTGCCACTGTTCGGTGGGACACGAGAAGTCTGGAACGGAACAATATGCTCGGCGTGATCGTCGGTCCGCATGCAACCCATGACTACGTGGGAGCACCGACGCCCCCGCTGGATTATTTTGTACGCCCCATTACACGGTTAGTAAGGCACACGCACCACGACATCGTCCGCGGGATAGGCCTGGGTGCTTTGGACAGGCTTGTCTCACCTGTCTGCTTACTCGAACACGAGGATAAACGACGGCCCAGACGCAGACGAACGGGTCTGCCAGATGACGGATTAGCCACCGCGAGCATTCACGGGGGGGAGACATTAATGCGGTTCCGCTCGTGCTACATACAAAGCCTCGTCCGCCTTTACTCGCCACCTCTTGCCCAGAAGCATCTGGCAACCGCTTCGACAAGATATGACGCCGCCAGCGCAGGCAGATGCCTGAGTAAACAATGCTGCGGGGAGGCGAAACCACCCTCTCCACATGTAAGCGAACAAAGAAATTTCCACGCACTTTCATTACGTGTACCAGCCCTGATGGTGGCGTATGATTGCTGCTCCCTAATTGAGCGCACTGCCACTGGTCGAAAAAAACGAAAGATATTTTTTCGTAGCTGGCCACCGATGGGATACACCCCGTGCTTATGAACAGGAACAGGGATCCCGACGACATAATTAGCAAAGTCGCCACAAAAGCTAATTTTTATTTCCCCCCAGTTGCAAGTTTGGAGAACTACCGGAAAAACATGAACCTGCTTGCAACATGGAGATCAGGTACGCGAAAGTTATAATTAGACCGGAGAACTTTATCGGTGTTTTGTGGTACAGACAAAACCAACCTAGCACTAGACACATCGGTCGTAGAGGCGACTGTGTAATGTTCGAAGTTCTTGTGGATGATGCTGGGAGCTCGGGGCTTTGATCGTCTTGGGGTGATATCACGCTTACATAAGGTAGAGAAAAACTTGCCGCTTCGGGCGCTCCTCGAAAAATTGCTGCAATTGATGCATAATATTATGTACCAGTTATGACTAGATTTGCAACCAGAGGCGGGTCATTCAGCCATTTGCTTTACGGGGGCTCGGGAACCCGTCGAGGCTTAACATGTATAGCGTTCGGGGCGAATTACACATGGTCTAGATCCCCTGAGTCATAAACTTCATCACTCCTCTTCGCCAGCTTCAATCTCATACCTCTGTCGCCTGACTGGAGCTGAGAATAGCGTCATATTGCAATGCTTTTGGTCTGTTTATTCGATAATGTTTAAGGTGTTCGCTTGATGATTCGTTTCTTATACGAGAGCCGTGGAGATATTGAGTGACTTGTGGAGCGGGGACCTAATAAAATACCAACAAGCGAATGAAACCCGTGAACATAAACAAAAATATGTTGAACAGGTTGCCGTGCGTGTTCTTTATCTTCTCATTTATGGGAAACCTGAAAAATCGCCTTGGGTGACCCCTCCAACTGATATCTCAAATGTATTCAACTTCTGAGCAAGAATCTCGGGAATAAATCTGGACAAGCAATCAAATTTGGCGACGGCTTAATTGTTCCTTTTTCTGAAAAATTTCCACATGAGCTGTATCATTTTTTGTCGAAGTTGTGCAATCTCTTTGATGTGTTTCGAACTTGAAGACATTATTTCCACGCAGTAAACATATTCATCAGGAGTGCAACACGATTGTAACACACTGTATAAATTTCCATGGAACCCTCATAATAGATTAGTAGTATTTTGGATACATCCTAGTTGCCATTGCGCTCGACATACACCAAATTGTGGCGAAATATATGTTTCCTCCTTTAAAATCGTTGAATATGACAATAATTGGGCCCGGTAAGAAGCTGCAAAATTGAAGAAGTTGATTTCGAAACAGCCTAAGCAGTTTCATCAACTTGGTATCTGCTGTTACACCAAGTCTGAAAAGACCAGCGTAGCTTTTGGAATTTGTCAAACGACAAGCGCTGATGGGAACCCCTTCGAGTACTCTGTAAACCATCCTTAAGCAATGATAGTCAAATTAACTGTAGTGACCAAGTTTTCAATTGGATCCACGTCACATTAGGGTCATAATCAACGCCGTTCTTCTTAGAGAGAACGCTTTTCGCAGACTCTATCATCAAAAATTGGGCTGGTGGCAGACACCTAAGTGCTACCGATCTGAGTCAACAATATTCAGCCACGTCAGATGTGTTTAAGACATGGTTTGACAAATTTTTAGCATCCGTCGACGATTTTTAAGGATCGCATCATTTTGTGGGCTGTAATTTTACTAAAATCCCTATAACCGCGGAGCCTAACGGGTTGGTGTAGAGTGGACTAACGTGAACCCCTATATTATCAGACATCTAGCACCACTGACATCCTACTACAATTGAATCATTGGCTCCCCAGGGTGCCAGTCTCCTCCAGCAATGTGTGCGGGGAGGTACATATCTGGTGGTTCGAGGTGACGCGCAGCCCCCTGATCGAGGGAGTTTCCAGAGGAGGCGAGGCATGGGCGTTTGGGGGAGCCAGCGCCGCGTGGGTAGCCAAGGAAAGTAGAGCCTACGGCAAACGTAAAGATAGTCGATACAACCCTAAATGCTAGTTCACATTTTCGATCAAGCTTGCCGTGGCGGGTATAATTATTTAACGCGCCCCCGGCAAGAAGAGCGCGAAATATTATTTTCGCTGGCGGTGGCGAGTATTTTCCCAGCCGGCGGCAAACATGCCTCCTACCTGCCGGGGCCCCGCTGTAGAGTGACCAACCGTGCGTCGGGTCGACAAAGGTCGACATGGGTTGTCGGGATGATCTACACTTATAGTAAATAAATAAAGTTGACCCCGAGACAATGCCGTTATTTCCTCGTTGGCGGGAGCAATAAGGGCGCTCGCGGCGCCTAAAATCCTCACTCGGAGACCGGGGAGGGGTATCGCCGAGTATTATGGTGGCGACGGGGCATTGACGACGTCAAACCGACGCGATGGAAGCACGTGCTCCGCCTGCCAATCATCGTGGGCGAAGGAGAGGGTGACGGCAACGATACTCGGTCCGACGAGGCTTTGAACTTTACGTAATATGCCCGGTACGCCACCCGATTTTCACGTGTATGCGGTCACGTGACCATAGTCATATGACTTAAATCACCTGACTCGCGTCACCTGACGTATGTTTTTCCGCTGATGTCAGCCGTGACGTTATCGCGGTCACTCACATAAAGCGTCTCCCTATATACACCAACACACTATGAGTACTCCTGTGGTCGAAGACACGCAAATCGTCCCCGGCGAAGGCCTTGGTAGCATTCTTAAACTCGGGCACCTGCTTTTCGAGGTGATCACCGAGCTCAATCGCGCCAACTACCGCCTCCAGATCAACTACTCCGACAACGCCGCCGAGTACCTGCGGCGGCCGATCCAGGTCGAATTGGTCGAGTACGGGATCAGGCTCACGTTTAACCACCAAGTCTTAGAGCTTGTTGAAGTTTCGCTTGGCTCCGAGCCGCCACAGAAGCCGTTTAGGGTGGTATACAATGGGCTCACTTTGAATGACGTGGACACCTACGACGCAGGCGAGTCGCCGCCGGCGCTGGTGCTGGCGCTGGCGCTGGCGCTGGACGCGAGCGATACGCTAGCGCCGTCGCCGCCGCGGCGCCAGGCGCACCAGCGGGCAACGTTGAAGCAGATTTACAATAAGATCTTTGGTCCCACTTATCCGGGTGATTTGACGAACAAGGGTCAATCGTACGTGCTTCTGTACCCTGGTGTTGCTCTTCGTTTTTCTGTGGGTCTGATGATTCCGAAACTGGCACGTCAAAACAAGATGGATAGCCACCAGCTCCTCCAATTGCTCCTTAACCACCAGCTGGACGTGGTGTGTGAAGGGCTCGCCGTGTTCTCGAAGAACGGGCGCTGGAACGCCCTTGAGAAGCTTGAGAACCGCGCCGCTCGTTGCGATGTTGACTTAGACAGTGGTAAAGTGGTAGTGACGCGAGTGCTGGACACTCCCGTCACTATTACCATTGGCGAAACAACACAGCAGCAAGTGGTGGAGATGTTGGGCCCACCGGACGACTACTTCAACAAGTACGACCTGAGAATGCAGATCCACGGCACGCCGGCGCCGCCAGGAACCACTCATAAATTCCACAATTACTTCCGGTGGGGGCTAGACGTCCTCTACGAGATCGGAGCAATGAAAACGGCGCCCACCGTGCTCAAAATCGTGCTCCACAACGGCGGCATCACCGAGCTGTTGGCGTTTGGCCGCTGGAACGGGTGCGAGTGGCAGATCAGCAGCCGCCACTTGGACGCGCCATTAACCTCAGAGATGCTCCACGACGACCTCCCCAAAGTGATCCGCGACTCGCCTCCCGTGCTTTTAGACCGCACCGAGCTGGAGTTCGTCGACCGCGACGTCGATATCGTCGAGGTGGTGCCCACCTCAAGCGTGTTTGGCCACGACCTGGTCGACGACAAGATCGGCACCTGGGGCCAGCTGAAGTTGTATGGTTTCCACCGCAGCATCGTCGAGGTGATGAACGCCAACGGGTGCGTCCTGCTGGTGACAGTTTTTTGATTACTCGTTCTCGTTACTCGTTTCATTCTCCATTGCTCTACTCATTGTCTACATCCAGATATAGCCATTGTTCTCATGTACGATGCATCGCCGCCCCCGCACCTCTACCTCTTTGTCAGCTTCGTCAGCGCCAGCGCCAGCGCCTTCGTCAGCTTCGTCCGGCGCAGAAAGATCAGCGAGATGTCGGAGAACACCATCGTGCTTTTCAGCACGGTGTCGTCGCCGTCGCTGCTTGTCGCCGACGCCTTCTGGCGCTTGCGCGCCAACTTCGCCAGCATCTTGTGGTTGAACGCCACCACCTTCGCCATGTTGCGGTTGTAGCTGTAGTTGATGTCGCCCTTCGATTTGTCGACTTTCGTCTCTTCCTTCTCGTTGCCCAAAACGTGGTTGTCGGTCTCCATCTGGCTGAGGAGCTTCTGCTGGGTCTGGTACAGCACGCTGTGGGAGTAGAAGTTCATGGTGTGGTTTAGGGATTATCCTTGTGTCGAGGGGATATCAAACCTTAAATATCCTACGCCCCTAATTTCAAACGGGAGGCCGACGATAATGGCACCTTTCCTGCCCCCGACCCCATTATTCGCCACCACACAATGGCGCCCGACGCGCGCTGTTTCGCCCCCAGCGGTGGTCGCGGCGCAATTGTCGCCCCTTACGTCGACGACTCGACCACTGATAAGGCCATGGTTTCCATGGTAGTTGTTGTTGTCAGCGCTTATTCTCCAGCGGTTAGAGTTAGCGACGACGTTAGAGTTAGCGCGGTGGAGGGGAGGCGGGGGTGGTACAGCCGCCCCAGATATAGATCTGCGGCCGGCTTTGTTATGGGTCGCGCACGTGCGGGGACAGCGCACCGGCAAAACCGCCAGGCGTCGACCCATACTAGCCAGTGGTGGCAGCGACGGGATAAACACTAAGCGGAAAAGAAGCTATACCATCTAAACCGCTTGAGTGATGTCACGTGACCACTAAGGAGTGGTCGCACTGACCATCACCAACCGCCTCTCACCCCCTATGCTCCACCTCGAGGTTATGACCTGTAGACGCTGGCGCCGATACGAACGAGATCGTCCAGACTCTGGGCGCACCCGGCCAGCTTTGTGTCGTCTTAGGCAAGAGGGTTGCTCACGGCACTTGGGTCGACGTTGCCGGCGCAACCGGGCGACAACTCCGGGGCGGCGTGCGAAAACGAGGACCTATGTGGCGATTAATCAGGTAATCGAGGAATTCCAGGCGAACGGGGCCCTGACACATCCAGCAATAGCAGGTGAGAAAAAGGGACAACGAGGAAACCCCAAGAAACCGCTATCCAGCAACCATCTCGTATCCCCTAGGGGTCCAAAGTCACCGCCAAACAGTACTCACCGCCACCAGTACCCGATACGCAAACCTTGAGTCACGGGTGAGTCACGGGCGGGGTGGTGCTCGTATAGGGGTCAGCCCTGCCGACCCTGCGACCGCCTAGGCCTCATTTGCGTGATCTATATGTATTCCCCGTTTTGTCCTCTGTGGCTAGGCACCCTGGTGCATTTGGTCCGCGGTGACGTCGCTGGTTGGGCATAAGGGCTTTTTCGCTGCCAAAGCCCCGAAAAGCGAAAATTACGCACCCTGCCACTTTGCGGCTAAGGGGGTGTTTCGTACGAGTACCAGACAGGCAAGGGCAGACGGGTGCGTTTAGGGCCAGCGGCCGTTGGTACCTTAACTAACAACCTTAGCTTAGGGAAAGAGGGGGGAAAGCTTGAAAATGGGGAGGGGTCAGTGGAGGGTGATGGTGGGGGTAGGGAAATGTTTGTGGTGCGACTTGTGTGGCGAGCGGGTACCTTACCGCCGATTTCGATAAATTGGCGGTTTGTGCGACTACGGTGTCGGACCGGATGTCGGACTCGGCAGTTCGGATTGCGCACCGGGAGTCGCAAAAAAAGGCTGCGGCGACGCTTGGCTTGTCGGATTCGCGTTGACGTATAAGACTTTGAGGGGTATGGACTTGAAGAAACCGAAACAGATGACGTGAATTTCACTACAAACTGCTTGTTTATCGGGGATTATGCATGGCAACATATCAAATGGAATGTCTGGTTCAAGAAAACGAAAGAGAGTCGCTACGACGTCTTCATGGACTCTGCTTTAGCTTCTAATGGCGAGCTCAAGGTCGAGTCGAGAAAAGTCATGATGGCCCAAAGGGATGACACCCCAGCCAAAGTCTTGGAAAAGCAACGACTCTCCTTCCTTAAACAGGTCCTCGCTGAAGCTTCGGCTGATAAGATAAAATATGTGATACTTTTCAAAGATATGATGACGCCTGGAATGCAGAACTTGATTGAGAAACATAAAATTTAAAGCAATAACGATGGGAAGAAGCTCAGGTGACTCTACTCCCTTAAACCTCTTAATGAGTGAAATGAGATTAAGAATCAAGAGAGATTCAATGAAACCAGATGATCTGTTTGATGACAGATTTACTAGCGCTTTAAACTCTTTCACAGCTTGGGAAATCTTTGATACATTGTCCAATTGCAAACGCTACTGATAGCATCTTATGCCCTATGTATCTCTATACCGTGTGATTACTGAATATCTTGTCGTAGTTCGCATTTCGCAAACTGGTGCTTGCAGTGATTAATCATCTTTGCGATTGATTCTGGATGTATCTCCCGAACAGCATCTTCCACCAAGTCACTTATCCCTTCGAGTGAGTTGTGACTCGCTATTTGCACCCTCACTTTCCTCTTTACGGACGACCAGAAGTTCTCTATAGGATTGAGCTCAGGAGAATGAGGTGGCAAATACTCCACCCCATAACCTCTGCTCAGTATTAACTGTTTCACCTCATTCACGTGATGGAACCGAACATTATCCATTACCAAGACCTTGTATTGATGTCTTGTGTCGTCTCTGTCCAGAGTGTCCATCAAATTCTGTAAGAAGTCAAAAAAATGCACTGCTGTTGTGCCTGTAGTTTTCACCGAATCTGAATACCTGTTCCCTTCGTCTTTGCATCACTTCTTCTTCGTTTTTTCGTGGCTTTTAGTGACTGGTACTCCTGTACGTCTGTTATAATAGTCTTTGTAACCTTCGGGTTTCGGGTACTTTCATGACTGCTCTCTTGCCCTTCGTCGCCCCGTGTGAGGCTCGGGCACTTTAAACGGCTCCCTTGGCGGAAATAGGGACTGGATATTTTCGCTGTTATCTCTGCCTTCGATGTCAATATTGAAATGTTTGTTGATCTGCTGTAAAATAGCAGCGTCTTCAGGGCTAAGAGGTGCTCAACCATCATCGCCTAAACCAATGATGACATCGTTGAGTCTGATGTCACCTGAATCATCCTTCACGAAACAGAACACAGCAGAATCGTGGTGGTGTTCGTATTGGCTTCAGTCGATGCCAATGATGCAGTTGGTTGTTGATTAACGAGAGGTCGAAATTGCGTGTGCGACACGATCTCCGACAATCGATGTAGATTTAGCGACATCGCCCCCTACACTGATCCTGATAAAAATGCATGTGACTGCGACAGTGTTCGAGTGATTTCCGACAACGCACGTGACAATCACCTCGAGAATTTCTGACACCGCGAACCGCAACGACTACAGTGCGACTACAGAAGCATGAAAATCCGAAACTCGTTTTCCGAGGGTCCGACAGTGGACGCGACAGTTGAATTATAGGATGCGACAAGCTAGTGCTCAAAACCCCCAATAATTCGAAATTGGCGGTACGTAGTGTCGGAGGTCACCTACCGCCTAACAGCGCTCGCTAAGCGCGGAGACAGGACGCGTTAAGTCCGTGCTGGCGCGTTGTTCGCTGTACTGGTAGCGCCAAGTCACGTGATTAGGGTTGACTTCAAGACCAAAATGAAAAGGGAAACTACAAACAAGTCGCCATCGTTTTACTCAGCGTCATTAGCTACTAGTTAGCGCTGCTGCACAGCGCTCGTTATTGCTGCCACTGCTGGCTGGCGCCCGCGCCCGCGCCAGCGCCCTCGGCGCCATTCGCCGAGACTGCTGTCTTCGCCGAACCACCGCTCCCCAAACCGGTGAAAACCCCGACACCGGCATGCGCCCCCCGATGCCGCATTCGGAGCCATGGCGCCAATGTGCCACGCACGCCGCTTAGACGCCCCCGCGCCCCGGTAATAATGTCGCGCCTGCCGCCCCTGCCGGCACCCGCCTTCGAAGGTGCCTTGCCCTGCTCGTGCAACTGCTCTAATGTTGCCTTGACGCCCCCCGGCAATATCTGGCCCTTTATTATTTGCCCGCGCTGCCCCCACCGCCAGGCCGTTTTGGTTTATATACTTCCCTAGGGCCACTGCGTTACCCTGCTTCCCCTCTGGCTCCCTCCCTCTGGCTCATTCCTTTGGTTTCACATCCCCCCTGTCTGGAGTAGTAAGGTGACCTTTGTTTCACAGACCCCGTGTGCTTACCTCCGTGACTTCAGCATCCCCACACAAACCTTCTGACCACCACCCACCCCTCCGGCCACACACACCCTTCTCCCCCTCGCCGTCCGTCGCCCTTTGGCTTCCGCTCCCTGGCTCCATACTCCCACTCCCTTGCCACAGGTTCTGCTTACCCCCGGTTGATGGAGCGCTACCATGAGCAACTGGCCCCCAAGTTACGCCAATGACGCTGACGGCCACATCTACTACGAGTACGACTACTCGCCCGACGGCCGCCAGCAGCGCCGCCCCGTGCTCCCGCCAGGCGTGGTTATGGGCGCCCGTCCCGGCCAGCCGCCGCCGCCGCCGCCAGGAGCGCCTCCCAGCGCCGTGGTGGCGCCGCCGCCGCCGCTACCGCCGTCAGCTAACGCGCCCGCGCGAGCGCCCCCAGTGCCAATGGCAGCGGTGCCCCCTGGTTACTACCCGCCGTCAGAGTGGAACGACTACGCGGCGATGATGCCCCCGGCACCGGGCGCCGCCGCTGCCGCGGGTGGCGCTGGCGCTCAGCCAGTACCGCCAGGACCGCCGGCGCCGCCAGTAATGGCTGCCGGTAACCCGAGCGCCGCCAGCGTGAACGCCGCCCCCGGTGCGCTACCCGGCGCCCAGACTACTCAACCACCTCCGTCGACTACGGCGCCGTCACCGCCGTCCCCTTCTTCCGCCGCCAACAAACGCAAGGCGAAAAAGGCCCCCGCGCCGGCGCTGCTGAAGCCCGTCACCAAACGCCTGCGAATGGGGTGCCTCACCTGTCGCCAGCGCAAGAAACGCTGCTGCGAGACGCGCCCCAAGTGCACCGAGTGCGCCCGGCTCAAGCTCAACTGCCAGTGGCCAAAGCCGGGCACCGAGCACAAAAATAAGAACAAGGACGCCAAGATCGAGGAGAACACCATCGACCACGAGGTGTTTGGGAAAATCAAGGTGTTGCGCGGCATTGTCGAGCGCAAGTAGTAGCCAGCCGGCTGGCAAAAAAACCCAATCTTTCACTCCCTCGCCTCCCCACAACTCGAATAATCCCCTGGACATACTTATAGACAATGCTGGTGAAGCGGTGGCCCCACTGATTTATTTCTTGGTGATGCCCGTCATCAGCTACCTGTGATAACAATACGACTTTCAATAGATACGCGCTAGGTCAAATATCTGCCGTTTGTACCTGGCACACCTCGATAATATGCTCGCTTTTATGTATAAATACACGGTACAACTATCAATATCGTTTGAAATAAGTAACTTTACTCACTCGTTTATATGGAAACTCCTCATTTTAGCCATATACATAAATCAACGCGTTTTGACTGTCCACTACTGTCAATTCTCTAGTGCCATTGGTCGACGTTGATGATTAAAAACTCAACTCAAGTCATGGGATTCTTTTGGTTATGTTTGTGAATGACAGATTGACATACAGGGTGGTAGGGATAGTTCAAATGGCGGGAGGTAATCTCAGATGGAGGGAACCTACTAAAGACTCATTTGAAAAGTCCTTTGATATTCACACTCAAATTCTTCAGATGTTTTGGTTCAAGGTTTGTGTACATTTCTTGTGAAATTAGCCGATCTTCCAAACGAGGTTAACATTGATGCGATTTACTTGGCAATCAACATGTGCAGCTGCCTCCTCCTCAGAAATGGACACCGTGGTCCTGCTTGATGGCTCATCGACTTAATGCCTGTGGATGAGATGCCTGAGCCGTTCGAGTTATGTCATGAGGATTATCATTCAAAGTCTCGTCATGGTGAACAAACTGCGACATAACTGTGCTGTAAAGCTCGCTGAAAGCCTGAAAGAATAATCAGATCATTAACCCGACATCCATCTTGCTTCTTTTACAAGACTTTTGCCGCTTCGACTTGGTAAGACTGCCGTGTGGCTCTTCGGAAAAACTTCGATTATCAACATGAGGAGGGTTAATCCGGTTATAAACGCGACTTTGCAGGTGTACAACTCAAAATACAACTTTTACAACAGTCATTACTGAAATTACTAAGTGCTGTCCTCGATTTTGCTCGTTGTATTTTGAATACTATTGGATATTTAAATGAGTTTGAGTTGGTGTTATGAAGAGAATACGACAGTTGCCGAGGATAATGCTAAAATACGTTTGGTCGACCCAGTTTTCATTGCCAATCTTGTACTATATGGTATAGGTTACGAAAATGATTTACCCTTAGCCTAAAAGTGGATTCCATATAAATTGTTCTTAAGTCCAACCATGCGGTCCAAGATACGCCACCTCCCGAAACAATCCTTAAATTAATCTTGTGGATACTTCAAGATGCTCAGCAGAAGATTCCTTGGAGAGTTGCTCAAAGCCCCCGCCGCCCAACTAACGAGGGGGGGCCAGCCCAGGCTTAAGGTTCGCGCTGACGTATTCGGTACACCATATTTTTTTCGCCTGAGCTACCCATACATTGATAATGTTCTGCATGAAGCGAAGTGCAGCTAACCACGCAGATTGCCCATAAAGAAAGCAAACAGGTGGCTTTGATAATGGAAACAATAAAATTAGCTTGACCCAGCATGTAGTGACCGTGGTGGTCATTTGTCGCAGCCACACTAGACGGCCGCTTACGCCAGAAACAATTAAGCCCGCAGCATGCAGGCTTAGACCATATATTTTACATTGGACGCAGCCAAGGCAACCGTAGCTTTTTAGATGTGGGGTCACATGCTGATCTTTTGGGAATACGCTTCGGGCGTCCACGATGGTTCGTTTGGGCGGGAAATTCACGTCTTTCCATAGTAAATCTAGATCCGTCTCAAAACGGTATCCGTTACTCGTAACGAGAGTAGAATTGCTTTCCAACGTTGAGGTGATTTCTGGGCAAAGAGACCACTTAAAAGCTACATGGACTTCACCTTGATCAATGGACGACACAATTCAGAGCAGTGCTTCACCGATAGCAATCCCGGCCCGAACCAGCAGATACGCTAAGGGTGGGTTTTCTCCAGACTTGACGCGTCTGACTTTTCCGCGTTCAGTGTGATTTCCTCGGAAGAAGTCTTGATGTTCGCTTCTTAATCAGATCCACTTCAACTACGGCGACAAGACTTTGATGTTAACTCGTGCTTTCCTAGGGTACGTCCAACTTGTAGCCATATGCTGGTTACACACCCTTGCGAGACCTAATGCACGGAGCTTGCACTTCAACATCACTTCATGCGTATCGAATTGACAAAATCATATGTCCCAGAGTCTCCATCATCCGTGATTACCGAACCCCTTTTACTTGACTTAATCATCATTTATCAAATCTCGTTCACGATTTGTAATGATGATGTAATCCATGATTCTCACATAACCAATTTTCTCATAGTCAGAAATTATAGTGATTTACTCATCCAAATTAGGGCGAAATCATAAACGAAAATTCGAACAATCTGACTTAGTTAAGGGCAAGATCACGTCCGTTTACCAGGTCTTTTGAGGTTTTCAGTGCATGCAGTTACCTGGGTCACAAGATTCACTGCCGTCCACGCACACAGTTATTTTGTGAGGGGGGTTTTGAAGGTTATGGTCCATCAAACTTGCAGATCACAATTTTTTGATTTGGAGAAAAACCACTCCGTCGAGCTCTCTTTTGCTATATGTTGACTGATTTCAATACGGCTGGCTAACTGGCTTCAAAATGGCATAATTTTGGTTAATGCGAAAGATTTTCTGATTCAAAACAAGTTGTTATATGTTATTAACGGTTGGTTTGAGTGCCAAAAAAACCCAGCCTTGCTTTAATTGACTTCCCTATTGTCGTATGGATCATTGAATCTGGTTCGGAAGAACAATTTGGATCGAGGATGATACAAAATATGAAATTCGAAGAATATCGAAACTGAGGGGATTAAATGCAAAATAACAGTGGAAACATGCCTTGATTTACCCCTGACTGGGTGTATTGTCACATTGTAATGCTTTACAATCCTTACAGAAATTTCACGGGTCCACATCAACTATCAAATATCAACTTGAAGATATCTCGACTACATTTGAAGTGAAATTAAGTGGGGAGGCTTATCCAGGGTAGCAAAAAAGGCTTAATCTAGCTTGTTGTTATTTTTTCATGCCTCTTTTCCTTTCCTTTGTCGTGCTTACAGCCGAATCATTAAGGTCGCTACACAACTACATTGCGACATGGGGAAATTAATTACTCAGAACTTCACTTGAGGTATCCTGAGTCGAAATAGGCAACAGGGGTGGTTCTCTTCTATTTTTTTGGATTGTTTTGGCACGGGTTTGACGCTATATCATTCCTTATGTGGAAGGTTGATGTACGTCGCGAGTGGTTTGAAACAAGAGCTCGCGGCAAAAAATTACTAATTGAAGTCAAATTGTAAAGGCAGTTGGTATCTGTTCACTGGATCACACTGTTCATCATTTTTTCGGGATTTAATTAACGACTACGACTTCATGGGTGCCGACATAAGCGAACAGATCTTGTTGTTGAGAAAAAAAAAACTTCGGAGAGAAAATCAATTCTGAATCATCAGGACGGTGAAGTGAGGTAACTGGCTGAAGCGCTTTCACCGTCAATTGTAACTCATGAGGATGGAGTGGTGGTTGAAGGCCTTTGAGAGAGCCTGCTAATTGCTATGGCTGCTCTGTTTTATGACACTAATCAAGGCATCAAGACATTAACACTCCATTTTGCGTCGTTGGCTGATTTTTGGTTATATCATGTCAATTATTTCATTTCACGCTCTCACCTATGTGTAAACACACTGAATTTCACAAATGGCACTTCAGCGCAAAAATTGTAAAATCACCAACCAACGACGATCCCACTTTTACATCACCACCACTCGATTAAAAACTACCAACACAGTACTATATAGTCTAAAATTTACCACTATGATACCGCTTACAGTGTTTGTTTCGCTCCCCTCACTCATTGGGGACCCCCGCCATCTCAACCCGCACATGGAGGCCCTCTTCACCGATGCCCGGACTCAGTTGCTAGCGGAGCAGGACCAGCGTGAGCAGGTGATCAGAGGCTGTCGGGACATCACCGCTGCTGCCAAGAAGCTTATCTTTGCTCTCCACCGCAGCAATTCGAAGCAAGTGACTGAGCATAAGCAGGCGATTGGTACCCAGTTGGAAGCCCTATACAAGGTTTATAACAGTTCCAAATATAAAGGGAACGTCTCAGGAGCGTTCGAAGAGCTTTCCGAAGGGCTCTTGTTTGAATACTACCTTACCCACCATGATCTCATGACCTATGGCCAATTTTGCGATGAGGTGACCAAAATGGCCCTGGAGCAAGCGGCACTGATGTTTGAGTTCCACAACTACTTTCTCGGCATCTACGACTTGACTGGGGAAGTGATGCGGTGGTGTATCACCGCCGTGGCCCAGGGAGACGTCGCCACTGCCGTCACCGGGTGGAAGTTCCTCCAGCGGCTCTATAACCACATGAACGATACCATGAGTGTTTACCCTAAGCTCAATTTCTATAACGGAGTGCTGGGAGAGTTTCATCATAAGGGGCTGGGGCTGGTGCTGAAGAAAATGGAGGTTTTCGGACAACTGCTCCATAAAGTTCAAACGACTCTCTGTGAGTACTATGTGAGAGGCGACGAGTTTGCCAAAGATAATGGCGGAGACGAAAGTGGAAGTTTAAAGAGACCGCTAACTGAAGAGAATGAGACTGGTCCCCGTAAGAAGTTGGCCACCTAGCATTATTTCAATTAATGATAAGCATTCATAGTTAATGATGATAAGAATTCAATCAGTAAGCAATGATCAATTGAAAGAACATTAGCAAGATTCAACAAAACAATTCAGGCTATTGCAATAGAACTTCGATATGCCTATATATTCGTAGTATCGTTGAAAATTTACTATACACCTAACCCTTAGTATACACCCTAAATCCCTATCTAACTCCTTCATAACTCATTCTAATTCTCGGTCTTGGCTTCGAGTCTAGGAATGGCGCCACCGGGCGACTTTTCTGTTCTCGCAGTCAACACTTCGACCCCGTCCTCGGTGACCAATAATTGGTGCTCAAATTGAGCCGAGTACTTCCCGTCTTGCGTGACGGAAGTCCAGTTATCGGGCCACGTCTGGTCACGCCACGTCCCCAAGCAGATCATCGGCTCAATGGTGAAAACGTGGCCGGGTTTACAGATGCCCACGGCCTTATTCTTCAGGTAATGGGGCACGTTAGGTTGCGAGTGGAACAACTCACCAATGCCGTGGCCACAGTAGGTACGCACCACCGAACAGCCGTTAGCGTGGGCGTGTTTTTCAATAACTTCACCGAAGTCGCGGTAGGCCACCCCAGGCTTAACCATGGCGATCGCCTTATCCAAACACTCTCTGGTGGTTTCCACCAAGCGGACAGTATCAGGGTCACACTTAGCCTTATCACCGACGTAATAAGTCTCGTTCAAGTCGGCGTGGACGCCCAAATAGAAGATGGTAACGTCCAAGTTGATGATGTCGCCATCTTGAAGAGTATAGCCGTCAGGGATCCCGTGGCAGATCACTTCGTTTACCGAGGTGCACAACAGCTTAGGGAAGTTGTAATAGTTGAGTGGGGACGGGTAGGCGTTGCGTTTGAGGCATTCTTTGTGTAAGATGGCATCGAGCTCATCCGTGGTAATACCGGGGGCCACGTGAGCGGCGGTAGCGTCCAACACTTCTCTGGCCACTTTACAACACTTGCGGAGTTTTTCAAGCGTCTTGGGCGGGTGGACGACGATTTTGCCCAATCTGTCGTTCTTGATCTCCAGCAACGGTTTGCCGTCCAACGCGTAGTCGGGCCGCTTGATGTGTTTGGGGAGCTGACGACGCTCCAGCAACGGGTACACCGGACGCAATTCGCCAGTGAACAGGTAGTTGGGGAACGGGTTATAATTGTCCAGGCCGTCGTCGGCCTTGTGGATGGCCTTGTGCACCGCCCACCCGTTGCGGAAACACAGCTGGTCACAGAACACCAGCACCTTGTCTTCCTTGAGACACACGGGACATTTGAGTTGCAGCTCGGTGTCCTTGCCACACTGGGGCAGGGCACAGGTCGTCATTTTATATATAGGGTGACGGTGGTGGAATATATTTCGCGATGGCGCCGCCACACCGCGACTCGGGACAGAGAGTCCGAGTCACATGATCACCCACCGAGACGACGATATCACGGTGAAGGTGGAAGGGTAGAGCATGTGGGTTCCGGATATGCCTGGAAATTTCGGTCGGGGCAGCGGGCTACGGGTAACCCTTAGGAGGGGAAGGCCCCCCAAAGCACGATGATGAGATGGCCTCAGGTGGCCGCCTCGTATCGGGCGATAATATTTATCGTTCCCAATGGCGGCGATTTTATTTTCTTCCAAGAGCTTCCCACGTCCGCTTAGTGGTCTCATTTTTTGCTGATTTATTTTTACCCGACGGACGTTGTAAGCACGGCGTTATTCGAATAGCCCCATCCACGTCTGTCTAAGATATGAGCCCAGCAGTTTACTTAGGGCGGCCCACAGAGAGAGACGTATGGGTGCAGGCGTCGCTGTCACCGTGCGCGGTGTCGGCCCGGAGCCGTCCTCGCGTCTCCGAAGAAGCTATGCTGACCCCGCCTCCGAAGGACAATTGCGAAAATTATTCCGCCTCCTCGGGTCGACCCGCCGCCAAACGGTAGCTGCGCCTTCCCCCGCCCTGGACGCCCTGGACGCCCTAAGCCCCCAAATACACTAGCCATGAAATATACTAAGCCCCAGGAGACTACCTAGACTACCCGTTGATCTCCGCATTAGACCTCCGAGAATAAACTTCATTTGACAGCGGGGCCCCCACTTGTCTCAGACACAATTGACTCACCCCTGGCAGCCGGCTCACTGGCGAGCGGTGTCACACAATTAATTAATCAATTAATTAATTGCTGCCAGTGACCCGTGTTTCACCTTCGTTGCTCCCCGCTATGTCATTGAGCGTTGGCCGAGCTCGTGTTCGCCATGCACCGGTGGCGTCCGCCTGGGTAAAAATAAGCATTGTTCGTCGGTCGCTGTCCTCGAGCTTCCTCCCATAAAACAATGGCGCTCTATACATGAGACATTCTCTCGAGGGGGACAGGGTGCAGCGTCATGTGGGTACCGGGGCCGCCAAGGAATGTGGAGCAGCGACACCTATAATTGTTGCAGATCACCCTCATTTCTGCGTTAAAAATATGTATGTTTCACACCCCCACAGCCCCCCCCTCGGGGCAGGGTGTAGCGATGGATCTAGGGTACGGGATGGCATACGGCAGGCACCGGGCAGCGCATGTTTGACAGATGTCAATGCTTGGTGGCGGTTTCACCCCTCTTTTGCCGGCAAAAGTTGGGGCTAGCGACAATGTCTCGACGCGGGTACCGAGGACTACGTCGTCGCCAAAGTGCGTAATACCCGTAAACCACCTCTTTTCGAGATCTGGGTATGCACACGAAAACCTGTTGTTGCGTTAGGGGTATGACGTAATTGTGGTTCAGGGGCGTGACGTGGTATGTGTAATGAAGCATCGAGATCTGCCTACGAATGACAGGAGATGTGAACAGCTTTATCCCCGGGGATTTTAAAACCTGCATATGCATAAGCGCTCCCACTGGAAAATTAACGACCTTGTAAGTATGGGGGGGTGAGTGGGACCCTCGAGACAATTGAGAAAATAAATATGGCAAAGATCCACAAAATTCCGCTTATATAAGGTTTTTTTTTCCAATTTTCTCCCATGGCTTACAAACCCGTCTTAGAAATACGAAAATTACCCACTTAAATGCTAGTTTGGGGTACCGCGTCGTGATCCCTACAAAATTGGAATTGATGAAATGTGGTAATTAGTGGTATCGCCAGGACTCGAACAGTAGATGTGAGACACTTACAGGTAGTCGAGAGAGAGAAGTTGACGAATACGTAGCGCTGAATGATAAAATTGACTAATGATTTCCATATTCTGTGAAGCATCTATTGTCTTTACCATAGTCCCAGGTCATTAAATGATTATGGCAACCCCTGGATTCGAACTGACCCATATATACCAGAAGGTAGCCACAGTGAACCTATTGATAGTCACCTAAATAAACGTAAACTGACTCCCTTCAATCAACTATATTGACCACCATCCTCTACAGTTTTCCCTTATTACTTTTCATGCGTTTTCATTACTATGGTACAAACGTTTTTTACTCATTTTAGGCGGCGAGCACTTTCACCTCCTTCACCACTTCATCGTAGCCGTCCTTGTACTCTTCGGCCTTGTCGGCGTTCTTCTTCAGCTTGCCACCCCCGGGGACGATCATCACACACAGGGTGGGTCTCTTGGTGGCGCCAGCCGACCCCAAGTCTTCCTTAGAGGGAATAAACAAGTAGGGCACCGCCAGGTCTTCACACAACACGGGAATGTGCAGAATGACATCCATGGGTGAGATGTCGCCGGCAATCACCACCAAACCCTTTTCCCCCTTTCTGAGGCCCTTGACCACTTCCTTAACCCCGCGCTTGACGTGCTTGGCTTTCAGCGCCTTCTTGACCACTTTAAGCACTTTTTTGTTCAACTTTTTGGGGGCCATGGGCTGGGCAAACGGCAACACCGCCTCCATTCTCTTGTCGTAGTTGTCTTCGCCCGTGGCGTCTTCCTTCTTGTCCTTAGCCATGGGTATGGGTTTGTATGGCGATGAGATGGTTGAGTTTTTCGCGATGAGACCTCAGGTCACGTGATGCACCAGGACACGATCGCACTATTGATTGACTAACTTGTGGAAACAGTCAGAGATTGTGTTCCATGGTGAAACGGGCAAAGGCGGCGCCGTCGCAATTATTGGTGGAAACTGATGAGCTACCGCCAGCGGGGTTTGTCGTATCTAGTGACAAAGTCATTGCTTACTTACAAACGAAAACGTCATCACAAACAGGGTCTACACAATTGGAACTAATCATGACTCGCTCCGAAATTGCCGTCCTTGCAGAACACGGAATTGATAAGTTGACGACTATATTTGCTGACGTGAACGATGTGCGTATTGTTCAACCATCTGCGGGTGCTTACGAAGGCACAGTGCTGATTTATGGGAGTCACACCGGTACCAGTAAGCTCGCGACATATATCGCCTACCTCCTCGCTGTGGCCAATAATATTCATAAACAAGCGTTGACCTTAAAGCTGACTACCTACAGACTATTAGTGGTGGCTAAAGAAGTGCCTGAGGGGCTGCCGGGACTCACTATCGACGCCGATACGATTTTCGACACTCAGACACCAACCACGATAATCGATGTCCAGGGAGACTTTTCCAGTCTCTTCACTTTCCTCTGTGCTATTCGACACGCTGATTATAAGCCTGAGGCTGTATTTGGCGTGCACGTGGACTCGTTGCTTTATCTGAGGAGTGCTGATTTACAAGCAAAACTTGAAGCGCTGAAACAACACCAAATCGCCTGAATAACTCTAATGTTGTGACTAGTATGCTGGCATACGTATGTTATATATACAAGGCTTTCTTTTCCTTATGGTTTTACGTCACTTCGTCGGTGGTTTTAAGCTGCTTGTCCAAGCGTTTCTGCTCCTGAGCCACCGCTTTAAGCAACTCCTCTTTCAACTGGGGCACCTCGAGGCGTTCCACTAAGATATCGATGATATCGGGAGTCAAAATCACCTCCTCTTCCCGCTGGACGGGGCGCGAAAGCGCTTCGGCGTCGTTGGCGAGGGCGTAGATCTTATCGAGGTTAGGGATCTCCTTGAACTCCAAGTGGGTGGTGTCGGCCACAAGGTCGTTATCCGTCAACACTTCACACACCAGCTTTTTCGGGTGGCTCAAGTCGATGGGGTGGTCCGTCTCAAGTAAATAGTCCAAGTTTTTCACGCCCTGGAGAGCCTTGATGTTGCAATAAAGACGGTAGGCCAAGTAGAAACCAGGAACGTTTGGTACCACTGGAAGCACTGCCATGGGAAGCGTCAAGGGAATACCAAGAGCACACATGATCGCGTGCTTTTTATGGGTTTTGTAGGCGTCGTCCCGGAACTTGTATAGCTGGTCTAAGATCGTACACGGCTCCTGGAACTTAGGATGGTATAAGGGAACAGCTTGTAAATGGTCCTTAGGGATATTAAGCTCTGAAAGCAGTCCCTGGAGAATATTTGGTGGCAATTGGCGGTGGTATTCGGCCCCCTTACCGGAAACCAGAGGAATGCCTTTAGTCTCATCATTAGCAGTCGCCGGCACTTCCGCAGCCTCAATCTGAGTCTGAGACGGTTTGATCACTCTGATCATCTCCTTTTTCAGCGGGAACAGTTTGAGACACAGCTCCTGGTAGGGAATGGTCGCCAACAACTTCTTCACCCAATACACAATCTTAACATTGATTTTCGCCTTCAGATTGACCATTTTGTTCCATCCCTTGGAGGCAAGCAGCGTCACCTTCAGCTCGACCCGAGTAATCCACGGATAGCTGTGCTGTTGGGACAGGTGGAGCACCAGGGGGCGGTGGTGGCAAAAGATGTACAGGCGGGCGGTGGTCACGGGGAGCAGGATGACATAGATCAGGTTGGGGTCGATCTGGCGCTTGGCAGGGAGGGAAACCTTGGAGAGTGTCAGGTTATGGCGCACAAGCCGCAACAGCATCGGGGGGTTCGGAGGTGGCGGTGGTGGCGGTTATCGTTGCTGCGCGGGTCGACGATTACGCCCGGAAGCAAGCAACGCGGCAATCGAGCCGGTAGCGGATTATCGGTAGAGCTAGGCGTGATCTTTAGCATTAGTAGGTGGCCATTACTGAGTGGTTAGGTGGGTATAGAGTCTGGGTTTGTGGTTGTGGGCGGAGATAGGCCACGATGCACACGGCTAGCAATGGTCTAGTCGTTCGGTACTGCAGGCAGGCGCATCCACTGAAGCCGCTGACAAAAGCGTCCTTAAGCACCATTGAGACAAATGGCCAGTAGAGCTACGTAAATGCCATCTCTAACTAATTAATTATCTTCATACGGTTACAGATTTTGGTTTACGGTGAAGGAACTTTGAGAATCGTGGTGTCCGATGACCATTGTAGGCGCTGCCGTCTAAATTTGATCACGGTCTTGGCATTTACCGTTGATATATGAAGAACACATCAAAAACAACTCAGACTGAAAAATTGAATTAAATCGAGTTCATTTATAGGAAATTCTGAATTGTAAGTTTAGATGTAATACAATTGTGATCAGTTCTACACCGTATACAAGACATACCTTTTGTGCTAGTGTTGATTGCGTTCCGAGGCTCCCATCACCCATTTGCGCACTGCTCACATATCACCACCCAAATCCAAACACACACCCCGCCCACACCCGCCATGGCCTCCCCCGTGCCCGAGGAGGAGAAAGACTCGCTAGCCAACGTGCGGATAAACGCCTACTCCCACAATGTCCAGAATATCCCGCCGTACGTCCTCGATACCCTCCTGCTGGTCCACTACAAGGACGAGCTCAATAACAGCAACGTCAACACCGTGGGGCCTGCCATCTGGCACACAAATCAGCCTCCCGGGTGGGCAGGCAAAAACGACGATGTTATCCCGTTCAATCCTTACGTCCAGGACGACTACGTCAACCGTTTGGGCAACAACTGGCACAACCTTGTCAACTCGGTGAGGGACCCCCAAGCGCGGCCAGACTACAAATTGGACGAAAACATACTAGACGACAGGCTCCAGGGGACCTGGGGTGGTGATAAACGGTTGAAGGAAGCGCTTTTGGGCGAGGACGTCTACGACGACGTCGAGAGCGATAATGGCAATCACAAGCGACGCCACCGCAAACCCGGGTACTGGTTGCAACACCAGAACCGCAAGACGTTCCTCGAGCTGATCCAGCTGACGATATTGTACAACCGATGGCTTCCGTTGATTTTCCGTATACTTCTCGTCACCTGTTGTTGTTGCGCCTTGGGGATGGCGTGTACCATCTTTCGCGGCACGAAGAAGTACATCGAGTTTGGCCAGGAGCCGCTGACGATCATGGCCATCTGCGTCCAGCTGATTGCGTTGGCGTACTTGTTATACATCGCCTACGACGAATTCACGGGGAAGCCGTTGGGGCTCCGTAACGCCCTGGCCAAGCTCCTCTACATCTTGCTCGACTTGGTGTTCATCATCTTCTCCCTGGCCAACGTGCTGTTGGCGTTCAATACGTTGTACGACAGCAGGTGGGTGTGCCGCGAGGACGTCACCGGGCGGGTACCGGTGGTCACGAACATCTGCCGCCGCCAGCGGGCGCTCACGGGGTTCTTGGTGATGGTGATCTTTTTCTGGTTGGTCAACTTCTGTCTCTCGACCACCAGAGTGATCGTAAAGTTCACCAACGCCTCTAGGTGATGATCACCGACCAAAATCTTTTGCGAAGACACTATTTAATGATTTCCTTCTCCTGTCTACCGACGGCATGACTGCTCGCTGATTCCCTAGTGACGTGGGCAGTCCCTAGTGACGCTTAAAAGTCATATTTTTGCGAAGACATTATATTACATGACGACTCTCCGACTCTCTCTGTCTACCTCTGTAGTGGGTGAGACTGGTGGTTAGCAGCACTGGAAGCAGCACTGGAAGCATGATAAAATTTAACAGAAATGAGCTGGGCCCATCGACGGTCGATTACACATCGTCGCTTAACCTTCCGTTGGCAGTTGAAGTCAATGTAAGTAGTACATACGCCGGCGTCGTTCCCGTGCATCGGTGACGTCTCTATCACGAGCCCCGGTCCCCTCACACCGGAGAGAGGAAATTTTCTCTGTTGCCATAGTAAAATTTTTGCGTGCAGTCACGAATATTTTCCGAAGCTGCGTGAACGTTGCGACATTATCACTTTTCAGCGGCGACAGTTGATCCGGGCCCCATGTCTCCACGGGAGTATCTCTACCGCAACCCGACGGGCCTCCGTAGACCACGGTGAAACTCCCTTCCCTTTTGAACATTTATAGCCCTGGCGTTGACGATTACGAATCTACAATGAAACAGAGAGAAGTGTCCCCAACCGCAATTACGGGGAAAATGCCCTCACCCGCAAAAGCGAGTCGCTGTTAATGACTGTTCTGGAAGCACTACTCAGCCGCGTGACTAGGCCAAAGGCAGCGGGTGGGTCTAGCCCTCAGCCTAGCCTGTCTCACGCCACATATCGACCCACGGCCACTGTCGGGCTGGAAAAGATCATGTGATACCTCCACTTACTCTACGTGACGACGTGCTGCAAACGGTGCTGATCTGTGTCTGCAGCACGGATTGGCGAGCACGCGAGGGCCCTGGCAGCTGGGCCTACGGGGTTCCGCCCGGCAATTTTTGTCGGGGACCCTTCCGACATTTACAGCGTACAGCATTGTCACTGCTGAAGTGTCTGCAGAGCCGTCGTGGGGACCCTGCCCACTGGTACTGCTTACAATAGGCAAAATGTAAAAGTGTCTACAGAGGGGTCGTGATTGTGCTAAAATGTGGTGATTGTGTCGTATAAGTAACTGAATCAAGGCAAACGCATACTGGTAATGAATAAGTTCTTTATATTATATGCAATTAATATATACGGATGCAACGACTACCGTCGTAGCGGTTTACTCTTCGCTACGACGGAGGAGTTCCTCGATCTCCAGGATGGCCGTGGATACCCCCCACTCCACTCGCTTCTTGGTACGCTTAGAGTCGTGGACCAACTGACTGCGAGCCACGCGGGGGAGGAATCTGAGTAAACCCTTGAGCATCGTCGGCTGTTCGTTAGCCTTGGCAATGGCTTCGCTCATCACCTGGCTGTCAAACACCATATCCTTAGAGCTCAGACTGACACCGACATGCTTCACCTGACACTGCTTGCCCATCTTGTCGAAATAAGTGACGAACATCACTTCTAAAAACACCATGAGATCCAGCGACCCAGTGACAAAATTGGTATTACGGAGCGCGTGCCAGGGGAGACCATCACCGAGTAAATGGCCATAGAAGCGGCCCATCTTCATCACTTTATCCAATTCGTCGTCCCCACTATCGACCTCACGCAAATAGTCCCAGAACATGAACTGGAACGTCTTACGGTACGAGTGTTGCTGACACAACTTCTTTGCCAATACACCGTAGTACGGGTTCCACACCGGCTCCGCTTCCATACAGAGCATAAGCACAAGCGGCACTTCGCGCTCCTGGGTCTTTTTGAGCCCTAACTTATCGATCTTGGTCAAAGCGTCAATATAGTCTTCAGCTTGTTTGATCGAGATAAACACCGCTTTACGGACGTCGGAATTCATGAGGTGGGCCCCTGCTAATTGCGTCCACAGCTGCTTAGCGTCTGCCAACGTCCGTGCCACCTGGGCACGGTTGACAGTGGAGCCATCGCCCTTCCACGCCGCACCCACAAGCCACCATTTACCTCTTTCATCGGCGTGGCGGATATCGTCCAACAGCACCTGGATCGGCTCCAGCGCTGCTGACAGTGTAATCAGCTGGGCAAGCATTTTACGAAGACGCAGGGCAAGCTTGAAGCTTTCGTCGGAAGCCGGTTTAAGCTTATTGTTCTTTAACGAGGCAATCGTTTCCACCAAGAACTGGATTCTTGGCGTCACTTTCTCTTGAGGAAGCTTAGCGTATTGCTCATTGGTGGCGAGGACAATCTCTTTAAGTGCCAGCGGGTCGTCGGAGCGCATCTGGTTACCCAGATTGCGGATAAATTTAAGCAAGAGCTCCACCGTAGTCTCGTCAAACAGAGCAAGAAGGTCGCGGATAACGTCGTAGACAAGTCTCGACCCAATAAGCTGGAACATGTACACCGACAGCAACAACACCACGAGATTCTGGGCGTCTTTATCGTCACCTTGAGCACGAGCGGCGTCGAGCTTCTCCACGAGCGTCTGGATGAAATAGGCACCAAACTCTACACCCTGGAGTCTGTGGATGGCCACGACGACAATAGCATGGAGGTAGACAAACGTATCGAGTAAGCGACCCTGGTTAACCACCGAATTAAGGATTTGTCGGGTAAGTTCTTCCAGCACCACGTTTCTCGGGTGGTTCAAATAAAGCTGGTTAAGCTGGTCGATAATCTGGGTGACGTTAGCCTCCGAAAGCTTATTAAGCGGACCCTTAAGCTCTTTGCGGAGGGCAAGCACGTCTTCCGATACCCCTTCAGCCAGCTCCATTTTCCGTCTGAGAGCAGGAGGCACGTATTTGGTGGTGGCAGCCACGTACGGGTTTTCGTCGTCATTGTCGTCGTCATCACTATCATCACTATTATCCAGATCGCCGTCTTCTTCCAGACCTTGTTCGACGTCGGTATCGTCCTCTTCGTCGAGATCTTCAGAGCCGGGTTCTCCGAGGCCATCACCGAAATCAAGGTCTAACCCGTCAAGCAAGTCGCCCAAGCCGTCGTCTTCACCACTAAGCAGTTTCTTCTTATCTTTGAGACCAAGCTTCTTCGCATAGTAGGCAATATCGTCCTCATCTCGCTTCATAAGTTCTTGTTCTCTGATGGTGAGAGGACGCTTAGCGTACTTGACATCGTCCTCTTCCTTGTCCTTTTTCGACTTTTTCAGCTTCGATGACTTCATCTGCTCTTTGGTTTGCTGTTTCTCAATCTCTTCTTCCTCTTCCATCAGCTGTTCGTTGTCATCTTCATTGCCAAACTCCTCCTCACTGTCGCCATCATCTAAAAGGTCATCGTCACTAAGCAGATCGTCTTCGGGTAATTCATCCTCTTTGACGACACGTACATCGCCATTCAGCTTCGTCTTCTTATTCTTCTTCAAAGCCGCCAACGCCGCCATGGCATCCTCCTCCTCTTCTTCATCGTCTTCAGCTTCTTCGTCCTCGTCATTGAAGCCAAAATCATCGCTAAGCTCGTCATCTTCGGGGAGTTCATCTTCTTTGACCACCCTTAGAGTTTCCTTAGCCTTTTTACCTGATTTAAGAGCCTTCAACTTGGCCATAGCATCCTCTTCATCATCATCGTTACCATATTCAGCGTCATCAATATCTTCGTCAAAACCATCGAAGTCTTCCGATAAGGAGTCATCGTCGGCTCCCAAATCGTCCTCCTTAACCATTCGAATCTCCTGCTTGTTCGACTTAGCTGGTTTCTTTGCTTTAAGCGCTTTAAGCTGAGCCATCGCTTTAGCCTCTTCGTCCTCTTCATCCTCTTCACTTTCCAGTTCCAGAGACTCCAGAGGTTCCAGAGGTTCTTCTTCACTCTCCAAGGCTTCCATAGCTCGGAGTTCAGCCAATTCTTCCTCGTCAAATTCGTCGGAATCATATTCAGGCGCCGCGGGTTTTGTAGCCGGTTTGGCCTTGGTATCAGTTGATTTCTTAGGTTCCCAGCGTCTGATGGGGGCTTGAGGTTTAGGTTCAGGCACTTTACCCTTGTTTTTCTTCTGTTTCTTTGCCTGGCGCTCCTGCTTCCGTCTATCCTTTCTCGTCATCTTGGGAGCCTGGCGCTTCTTACCCCGCTTCGGTTGCTGGAACCGCTCGTCATTGGAATGATCCTTCTTCTTGAGTTGATCAAGAATGACCCCGGGAAGACGAATCCCGTGCTGCTCGCTCATTGGTGTGGGGTGGCGCTTGGCTGGTGCTTATCGTCCTCGATGCCCATCGCGCGGCTCATATGGAGGCGCAACTCCGACCCCAGCCAGAAAGGTACAATTAAGCTGATTGAGATGATATAAGTATGATGTGATGGGAAATTGATGAGCTGCGATGATGAGTTTATTGTGGTGATGCTAAGGCCAAAGGCAGGAGAGTGGCGAGAGTCTACAGTCAGTTCAACGTCGGTGGCGAAGTAGTTTGTCCCAAAGGTACAACGGGCAAATAAGGAGTCCCCGAGGAATGGTGATTGTTGTGAGAAGCCGTTGTCAAGTAGCAAAAGGTGGAAACAAGAGTTGTGAAGAGTATGGCTGAATCGATTGGTGGATTGGACATATTACCACTAATGTTTTCTATCCAACTGGGTGATCAAGCATTGGCTTGCTCGAGCTCAACTCCAATGGTTAAGACACGTCTTTCAGGGGTTAACCTATTAAGGTGTGGTCGATAAGCTCGTCAAACCTGAGAAATTTAAGCAGAACACGAACTACACAATGAACCTTGATCAATTGGCCCGAAGAACCGCCAGACTCTCTATTCAAACTGGTATGAAGACATTGCTTTAGACATTGCTTTCCAACCACCGGATGAACACGGTGTACTCTGCTTCTCCGACATCGGGAAATTGACGAATGATGAGCGCGTTGCCTCGTCAACGAGAACAATCATTTCCCAACAAATTCTCCAACAATAAGGCAGTCCCCCCACCTAGGTCATCCCCCAATTGTTGACCATCCCTTAATTTTCGTCTGTTTGACCGTTGATTGGAAAGCAGGCAGACATCATTGACGTTAATCAATAAAGGGTCACCCAGGTCAGAAAGCATCAAGCTCTTCGATGAGATCTGTCTTAGATCTGTCTTTTTCATTGCAGACGACGTTATGCGGACGCGTAATGTGCTAGACAACGGGTTGGGGAATGAGAAATAAGCCCCCTATTGTTGTCGTCGTCAATGTGACGACGGCGTGCATCTAGTAATTTCCCCCACCCCCCCCTTTCCAATTTTTTGGTCTATAAAAGGGCGACATTTCCCCCCTACTATTCATTATCAAAAATTTGTTTGGAAGCTTCTCACTTATGAGTTGAGCAACTACTCGATTACATTCGATGCTCCTCAACTGAAGACCACCACCAGCCAACGACAAGATCAACACATCGAGTTGGCATGGCTTGACGACGACGCTCATTGATTCTCGCGAGGCAAAATACCCCACTATATGATGGGGGCCCGCGACTGCTGATTACCATGGACCCCGAAAATTCAAACTACTGGGCCATGAAATTGCTGTTATACCGTGGACCCACAAATTACAAACTACCGGGCCATGGGTTTGTTGCTGTCATACCAAGGTTTGTTTCATGTTCAAGCGATTGTCATGTTGCAGCCAGGTCCCCAGACCATCATCGTAGTCGGAGGGTTGACACACCATTTTGCGGCCCTCTGCACGGCGGCGTTCATCATAGGCGGTATCCAATATCTGATCGACCCGTAACAGACAGTTATTACGATTAGTTACCATCGGCTGTCTAGGCATCTTAAAGGTGATAGTAATGATGGGTCACCTTTTTGATGGAAGTTCTCACACTGGGGAGCTGACTGCTACATCCACCAAAATTTTACTGAAACGACCTGATCAATTATCTAAGATTTAAATAACTTCAACTTAAACTACAATAAATAACAAGTATCATTGAAAATCGTTAATTTAAAATACAATTTTCTCAAGCTTGGTTCAACATAATTGTCTGGTGGATCAAATGGTACAGCGGAAGAGCCTGAGACTATTATGAAAAAGGGAATCATCATGGTTTGGATCGAAACCTTTGGATTTTACGTTTATATATTTACACCTATTAGCTCATTTGCCATGAATCGAATGGTATCCTCTTCACTATGGTATCTTCGCTTATCATCGGAAGTTCGCGCGATCACAGTCGTAGCCACTCGCCACTTTCCGGTACCAGTCGCAGATAAGAATCGCCACCCTCTGTTCGATATCTTATCGACACTAATATGATATGCTTCAAACACCAAACCTCTCTCTTCTATTCCCCTATCTCTTCAAACTAAATCATTCCACGTCCTATCTCTGCCCCGCCTTCTCCACAAAATCGCACTCGCACCACACCCGTATCGACACCATGTTCAATCTCAGCAAACTCCGCATCGATGTGGGCAAGCTCAAGATCGACCTCAAAGTGTTGATCGACGTGTTCATGCTCGCCGGTGCCGGGTTGTCGATGTACTACATCGTCAACCACCTCGTGCTGGAGATGAACGACGGGCGCAGCAAGGAGAAAGAGGCGGCGCTGAAAGGCGTGCTCAAAAAGATCCAGGCGTCCAACCCCCACTTGAAGGACGTCCAGTTCACTCAATACGAACGCAACTTGCTTGGTTCGCTCGTCACTCCTGACGAGATCCTGGTGCTGTTTGACGATATCGGCGGGTTAGGCGATATCATCGACGATGTCCGAGAAACCGTCATTTTGCCCCTTACGCAACCTCAGTTGTTTGCTAGCCTGGCAGGTTTAATCCAACCGCCGAAGGGTGTGTTGTTTTATGGTCCTCCTGGTTGTGGGAAGACGATGTTGGCTAAGGCCATTGCCAAGGAGTCGGGAGCGTTCTTCTTGAGTATCCGCATGTCCACCATCATGGACAAGTGGTACGGTGAATCTAATAAAATTACTGATGCCATCTTCTCTCTTGCCAATAAGTTACAGCCGTGCATCATCTTTATCGATGAGATCGACTCGTTCTTGCGGGACCGGCTGCTGCAGGACCACGAAGTGCTGGCGTTGCTTAAGGCCGAGTTCATGACCCTCTGGGACGGTTTGAGAGCCAACGGGCGCATCATGGTCATGGGGGCCACCAACCGCAAGCTGGACATCGACGAGGCGTTCTTGCGGAGATTGCCGAAGCTGTTTGCCATCAAGCGCCCCAACCCCAGCCAGAGAAAGGCGATCTTGACCAAGATCCTTAAGGACGCCAAGGTGGACGAACACGACTTCGACTTGGACTACATCGTTGCCCACACCGAGGGCAGCTCCGGCTCCGATCTCCGCGAGCTCTGCCGAGAGGCCGCCATCCTCCCCGTGCGGGAGTACATTCGCCACAACTACGACTACCTGTCGGGCCAATTGGCCGGTGAAAACGGTGAGGACTTCCCCGTGCGGCCGTTGCGCACACTGGACTTTATTAAGGAGGCGGGATTGGACTAGGCAGCTCATAGACCCTGTATAGATAGTAATGACATAATTGAAACCTAGTATTGAAGTAAGCAAAGAGTTTATGGCTCAAAGCATGAGATAATGTTATATCTACTGTGCCGTTAGGGTTGAGTTGATCCTGCATATAGTTGATCAACGCGATTATAAGCTCTCATCTCTCAGCACTAAAGAAAAAAAAATCCAATACACATCATCTACACAATTCACTGTAGAATGGTGGCTTCTTCGAAGATCCTTATACCGATTCGGTAGTATATTGATTCAAAGCGAAGCCTAAAGCAAAAACTATATTGTCGTGGACGTTGCCCTATTTCCAAAAGAGAAATGAGGGAATGGTGGAGTGGCTACTATGGCTTCTCCGTGGGAACCGAAGCGAGACATTTCATTTCCAATTAACCGAACGTAGTGTACTACTTGTAACTTCTCAAAACTAACTATTATCGTCACAAGCCTGTTTATGGCACGATGACGTGACTGCTGATAGTGCCACCGGTTAGCAGACCTGCACCTAGCTCTACATATCCCCGGATCGCTTTCCAGCCGTTCACTATTGCTCCCGCCACCAATGTTGCCCCGGGCGCCAATACCGTTGTTTCGGGTCCGTCCGACAACGCTACGCCTCAGGCCCATTCCATTGACTAATTCCCTTCGATTTTACTCGGCTGCCAAATCGGATAAGAACGATGTGGAGAAGCTTAAGCTGGAGACCAACCGCGGCGAAGAAGACAAGCTGGCCAAAGCTACCGGCGTCATTGACAAGACCCACCTGGAAGTGGTGCTCTACTACGACCACATCTACCCCTGGCTGATCCTGACGCTGCGGATTAAGCTGTATTTACAGCTTTTGGTGTTCCCCTTCCGCAACCGGTTTAGCGACGATAACCTCAAACAACGGATCAAAGACATCCTGGGACCTTTACCAGAGAATCTGCTTCGTGAGTTTATCCCCATGAAGCGTGATTGTGGCGCATTCGTCAAGTTTGAGGTGCCTCCTAACCAGCGCCCAGGAGAGTTTATTCTGGACGTCCAGCACCACGTCCAGCAGCACCTGGACGCCTACACGCGTTCGTTCGCTCACAAAGTGCTCAACTTATTGTGGAACCACTTCCCCAAGGTATATGCTGTCCAGGGTACGCCCTGGATCGAAGATCTTCATCGGTACCCCTCACGAGTGATTCTGATTAAGTTTGAGGGTGTCCCTTTGACCGAGGAAGAGATGTACGTGTTATTCCGTCGGTACGGCTCAATCGTCGATATAAAGCCCGACGCCAGTGATGCTAGAGTGATATTTGAGCTGGTACGCCTGGCGATATGTGCTAAGAATTGTATGACGGGGCTCGTGGTGGATAACGGGTCTCTGGTATTGCACATTCAATACGTTCCCGTGAAGAAATCCAACTATATCGTCGAATTTATCAATAACCACCAGCGGATCTCTATACCGATCATCATTGCCCTCTTAGCCGGGGCGGCGACGCTTTTGTTTGACCCCATCCGTAAATTCTTCATTGAAGCCAACATTACTCAGAAATACTCGCTTACTCGCTATCGTGATAACGCCGTGGTTAAAGCAATGATGATCCCTGTCGACAAGATCCGCCAGGCCATCGATACCCTGTATGACTTTATTGACGATACTATCAGTGGCTCGAGTAACAAGGACGAAAAGCTTGCTGGCGATGCCCCACTGCCTGACGATCTGACAATGATTTGGCTAGAGCGGTACGAAAAGGCTAAGGAGCTTAGACTATGGATCCATGAGAATGTGAATACGTTCATTATAGTCCAGGGTCCAAAGGGGCTGGGTAAAGAGCTGTTTGTGGTTGAAGATGCTCTTCATCCTGACGATACTATATCCAAGGATGTGCTTGTCCTCGACTGTGATGTATTATCTAAGACCAACGGCGACGCTGGCCTTCTTAAGCTGCTTGCCCATCAATTAGGTTACCGTCCCGTATTCACCTGGACTAACACCGTGTCTCAATTTATTGACTTGGGTGTACAAGGGATCACTGGTTCCAAGCTGGGTCTTTCTGAAACCAAAGAGAGTCAAGTGCGTCTGATGTTTAACCTTACTACTGCTGCTCTCCGCTCGATCGTTAACGACGACTACAAGGACTATGTTCTGGCTGTTAACCGCCACAACCACCGGGTCAAGCCGGGTGAAGACCACATCGATGTGGTTAAAGAAGATATCTACTTGCAACAGCACCCCGAGGTGAAGCCGATTGTTGTCATCGACAAGTTTGTCCGTAAGACTGACGACTCGGGTAACGACTTCATCTACTCGGAGATTGCTAAGTGGGCAGCGTCGTTGATCCAGGCCAACTTGGCTCACGTGATTTTCACCACTAACGACGTGCTGTCGTCGCAAGTGCTTGCGGAAGCGTTGCCGGATACCGTGTTTAAGACTACGACCTTGAATGATGCCCTGATCCCCGTGGCTAGGGCCTACCTTAAGTCGCAAGTACAAGCCGATGATGCCGAGCTCGATGCTTGTATCGCTCCATTGGGAGGGAGAATGCTTGATTTGCAAGCGTTTGTACGTCGTAATAACCTGGGAGAACTGCCGACGCGAGCTATCCACGAAATGATTAACCAGGCAGCCGAGCAGATCCTGACCTTTTTCCTTAACAAGACTGACCCTGATTGGAATGCGGCTCAAGTATGGGTAGTGGTGAAGGCTTTGGCTGATAATGATGAGGTCAACTATACTGATTTAGCGAGTGACCCTGTATTTTCGCTGGGCAATACCGTTCAGACATTGCTGGTGCTTGAACGCCATGATCTCATCAGTTTGGACCGCAACTTAGGGGTGTTATCCAAGGTCCGCATGGGGAGACCGTTGTTTAAGGCGGCGTGCAAGCAGTTGGTCGAGGACCCGCTGGTGTACAAGATATACGAGACCGATTACCTCAAACGACTCATCAAGATCGAAACCGACAAGATGAAGACGTTTGAAGATGAGTTGGCAAAGATCTTTGATACTGACGCTGATAGACGGAAAACGTGGTTGCTGGATAAGATCAATTCGGGAGCAGCCACCGTCTCTCAATTGGAGACCGACGTGAAGAATGTTGGCGTTCCTAAACAGAATGATAAGTCGTTCTGGAGCCTTAAAAAATAGCCTTGTATAGCAATAGCAAATATGATTACGAATAAGTTCAGTCTTGAGTATGTAGTTTCTGTTGTCCTACCACATTTCTTGTGTAAACTTGTATTTTGTAGCATTACTTGTCGTACGACATTTTATCTGAGGCTGGGTCCCTTAATAAATCCGTTAACCTTTAAAATGTGAATCCACATGAGTTTAAAGCTCACACAGTAATATCGATCCTTTAAAATCCAATTAAAGAGGAATTTGAATTGAATATAACTCCAGGTCATGAGTTTCAGAGTATGTTCTCGATAAATGTGACCTCACTAAGACCACCATTACTCCCGCCACTCTACCCCTCTATCGAATGTCAAGTGAAATCAACAGATTCGATGTTATTCAATCGTTATTAACAACCAATACTTACGGTAAATCCTCTCAGTACCAATATCCCTCTTCCGTTACCCTCACCAGATCGAGACCTCACTCGCGCGTTCTGGCCACACCACCACTGACCACCCCCCTCAATCCGACCCCATGAATGACGACGACCTCACCGCGTCGCATTGGGACGACGTGTTGGCGCCAAGCCAGGTAGGCCTTGGTAGCCGCTTCGACGATGTCCTCAACCACGACCCCTGGTCCGATTCGCCGCGGCCTAAGGCCTATGGCGAGCCCGACCTGGATGAGGACGATAACGAGGATAACAACGATAACGACCAATCAGAACACGACCAGGCTGAACCACAATCTCCAGTGGCTCCCCAGGTACTGAACCCTGCCACGGCGCCGGTGTCTGAGGCCCGGGAACACCAGCACGACCTCGTGTCGCAATTGACAGCTGGCGTGGACGATGACGACATTATCACCCCTCAACAACACCCTCGCAAAGTGGTACTGACTCTGGACCCATTATTCCACGATAAGGGGCTGCCAATCCAGCTCAATTTGCCCACCCCGCTGGATCTGGGGCTTCCAATTAAACCGGTTAATTTCCGGGCGTTGAAGCCTCGGAAGTACCTGCGGAAAGTGATTAAAGAGCTTGACTCATCCGTCGTTGGCCCTTTAGAGGCGAAAAGCTCACCGAAAAAGGCCCAGCGGTCCAGTCTGTCGACATATGACCAGTTAGTGCTGGAAGTGAACTCACCCTTATTTGATCGCGAGAACGCTGCCCCTGTCACTAATAAGATGGCCCAGCTTAACGTTAACCTGGATGTTGATGACACTACCCAACCACATACCCAACAGCAGCAGCAGCAGGAAGAGGCTGGTAATCCTTCTACTGAGCAAGAGCGCAAACCTTCGGTTAATCCGTTCACCGTGTCTGTGGGTGACCCGATGAAAGTGGGCGAGCTCACCAAGGCCCACGTTGTTTACAATGTGAAAACCAAGTATAAGGGAAACCCTCCTGCCACTTACCAAGTCACGAGACGTTATCGTGACTTCCGCTGGCTCTACAACCAGCTTCAAACCAATCACCCAGGGCTTATCATTCCTCCCCCGCCGCTGAAACAAATGTTTATTGGTCGTTTCAACGAGAACTTCATCGAGGATCGCCGGCTTCTGTTGGAAAAGATGTTACTGAAGATATTAGACCGAGAAGTGCTTCGCGACGATGCTGATGTCAAGGCCTTTCTCACCCAGCCTGATTTGGAAATCAAGGGCGAAGAAGCCGATGGCGAGGTGGATGAAGCCGAGGCAGGGGCGCTGCTGTTCATGGGCTTCTTCTCACTGGGCGCTAAGGTGGAGGAAACGGATCCGTGGTTTACTAAGCAGAGAAGCTACATTGATGAAGTTGAGTCCAATCTTAAACAATTTTACCGTGCGCTCGAGCTTATTGGCAATCAGAGGTTCGAGTTGGTGGGTCTCTACGATGAAATTGCCGCTAGTGCTGACGAACTCGCTCAACTTGAGATGTCTAAGGCTACCACCGAAGTTCTCGCTGCATTCTCCGAAGTGCAAATCAAACTCAAGCAAAACTTGGATCGCACTTCGATGCAAGACCAGCTTACACTTGGGTTCACCATCGACGAATACCTTCGCCTTGTCGGACTGATTAAACATGTGCTTGACGTTCGGACGAAGATCGCCACCCAACTACACACTTATCTGCAAGACTATGAGAAGAAACAGCTACAGTTGGACAAGCAGAAGCGACGCCTGGCGGTGCTGGATCTGTTACAATTTGAAGTGAATAAGTTGAAGGAGAAGGCCGACACCTACGCCAAGCGGTTTGACGATATCTCGGCGACGATCAAGCTGGAGATGGAGCGCTTTGACCTTGAGAGAGTGGACGATTTCCGCAATGCGGTGGAAATCTTCATTGAAAGCTCAATTGAGAGCCAGAAGGAGGCCATTGAGATCTACGAAACATTCTACGAGCGCCAGGGCTTAGGCGACGCTAAAACCAAAGCTGAGCTCAAACAGGAAGCGAAACAGAGACATGCCTCGGCCTCAGAAGCTGAAGACGGTGCTGATGCTAACACTAGCACTAACGGCACCAAAGCTGCTGACGACACTAATTGAAGGTTATATCCGTCCAATGGCTTCACTGATAATCCTATTGAATAGGAACCCATAACGAATAAATGTATATGAAAGAAAAATTCCCTAACCTCCTCTTTAGCAATGTGTCGCACTGATCCAAGGTTGTGGCGAGTTTATGGTGCGACCTAAAGTTCCCAAGTGTCTAAGCTGTCGCCGACTCCGAATAAAGGTACGTCCAGCTTTCTGATGATTTTGGGAATGTATACCTAACGTCCAGTGTGACCTCAAGCTCCCCTGTGAGTACTGTGCCTCCCGCAACCGCGAGTGTGTCTACCCTAATGCGCCGCTGAGCACAAAGGTGCCCCTGGTGGAACTAGACCTAAGCGATGGCTCTAGCTATGACCAGGACCAGTATCCTGTTTTTGATGACGAGTTTCCGATACCCGAAGGTGGAGAATTGACTGATGTGGAGGAATTCATGGATCTAGGAGCGGACTATGACGACGATATAATTGAGTTCGTTAGGGATGAGTCGACCGACTCTGAGGCTAGCTCATTGACTGAGTTGCCTCTACCAACTCCCGAAATGATCAATGTGTACCGCCTTTACTCAGTGCTACCGGTGAAGGTGAATATGACACCGTTGGAGATGTGGGTGCTCCACTTCTTGCTCGAGTCGAGTTTGGAGTACTACGTTGCCAGCAGAGACACGAGGCAAATGCAGATGTGGGATAACATACGTGAGACGTTGTTTGGCAACCTGAAGTTGATGCAGCTGAGCTTGTATGCTTATCTGGGGATGCTTATGCTTGTGAATTACAACTCGCGATACCTCTTGGGAGAGCTGCCCGTCGACGATGGCCTGGAGTTATCGGTGGCTAAAGTGTACAACTTCTCGATGAATCTGTACAGCTTTCTCTTGAAGGATTTGACTAGGCAAATGGAGCCGCTTCTTGCCAATACCATTACCCGAGTAGAGGCTGAGGTGCTCGTTGTCTCCATATCATTTTTGTTTTCAATCATCGGGAGCAATCCTGTGGGCACTTGTCCGTTAGTTGACTTCAACAGGGGTGGTAATGATTTCATCTCATTTTGCATTGGCTTCCGTCAAACTGGTATTGCGACATACTCTCTAATACGCGACCTGCTATTAGTGGAAGTTGTGTCTGTGAAAACGCCACCGCTGATGGATACACCGCTTCTCCCATTCTTTGCTCGGATTCTACGATACATTGACGACCATGAAAGTGATGGCCAAATTGATGAAGACGACTTAGAGGTGATTAAGACCACCATCAGATTGCTCAATCAACACGTGCATCGCACCACGGTGCACCGAACCCCCGTGGCATTCTTCCAAACCTTCACGTATACCTCGGAAACCTTTTGGAATTTGGTGTACAATCAAGTGCCGATCGCCCTCAGCTGGCTCAATGCATTATCGGCGTTTGCGCTCATGTTCAAATTTTGTTTCATTCGAGACAACAACATCTGGGTCGAATACATGGACTGGTGTCACCTGTGGATCCAACACAAGTACCCTTGGGATGAGCCATTGTATCGACTCGTGGTTGAACAGGGGTTCTACGTCCGCGATTTCCTGTTCTTCCTCACTTTTGATCCTGTAAATACAACTTAGTTAGAGGTACTTTGGTACACAAATACAGCATGCGATTTCCATGTCACATTTTGTGGTTAATCGAAATAATCAAGTTTCTAGTGTATTGGACGTTGTGGCACATACAACTTTGCATCATAGAGTGATTCAAAAGTTCATAGTACGAATATGTTTCGTGCATCGAGCAATTAAAGACTCTTTCCACTTACAAGCGTTGAAACTCCCAACTGGTTAAATGCGATTATCTTGATCCCCTATAACTTTCAATTGAAGATAATAAACTATCATTGGTTTACAAATGCACATAATCTTTTAATAAGGTGGTTAGTTGTTGGATTTGTTTGGCATTTTCTATCGTGTGCTACGTTATGTGCCCCCGCCGGTGATTTCTCACCACCGATGCGGCGATGGCTCCGACCAGTGGATCTTCAGTGGGGCGCTCCCTTGGCTCCCGCCAGCCCCATCCGGTACCATAGCCCTCCCGTGCCCCTCACTGGCGCCAAGCTTCTTGCCTACAACTTCAATGTCCAGCCCTACGCGTGGAGCCGGGCCATCGAGGGGCTCCCCGCTCATGACGTCGCCAAGCTAAACCAGCCCGACCCCCGGCTATTTCAAGAGCAAATGAGGATTTATAGAGCGTACGAGATCGTCGAGCACCAGCGCCGCCACGGGAACCACCTCAACCCCTACGTGGGGCTGGGGCTCCACCCGTGGGAGATCGTCAAGGATAAGCTCCGCAAGCAAGTGGTGGGCAAGTTTAGGGACTTGGACGAGTTTGAGATGGACATCTACGACGAGATCATCGTGTTTGCCACCACAGGAAAGCCTTTAGGCATCGTGGCGGAGGTTGTAGCGCCGCCCCCTAAAATGCCGGCGTGGGTCAAGCAGTGGCGCGACACAGGATACGTGGTCCGCTCACGCTTCACCAAGACCAACTTCGCCCTGTTCTATGCCCAGTGGGTCGCCCATAACTCCAGCAGCGCTCGTCCATTGGTCAGTGCCGCCAGCGCGTGGCGGGCCATGCCCCAGAGCGAGAGGGAACAGGTGCCGCTGCCCACGCGCCAGCTGAGGGCGTATAAGGAGATGTTGCTTGAGATCCGACTTGCGTTGGTGATGGACTTCATCTGCTACGGGTGGTTGTACCCGAGCCACGACTGGCTTTCTCACTATCGCGCCATGGGGCCGGGGTGGACGTACATGCACCGGCTGTATACCGATGTCGACTACCGCGTGTTTACCGCTAAGGTCTAGTTTCAGTATTGATGTGAAACACAGGTGAGACACGCCACCAGGTGAGACACTGAGGTGAGACACTGAGATCAAATGACCACGTCCTCATGGCATTCAGTGGACTTTCGCGCTGTTGACCGGTGCGGAAGCGCAGCCAGGCCGGCGCCGAAAAAAACCGCGGCGTAGCGGGTGGTGGCTCAGCAACCGCCCCGTCGTTGTGAAAGCAAGTGCCGGGTATTAGAGAAGCAAAAGAGGCAAAAACAAGTAGTGAGACAAAACTTTAAATGCATACAGATATACGTACTGGTGGTGAGGTAATTCGGGCAGGGCGACGACCGTTTAGGAGGCGAGACCGTAGACTTACCCTCACAGGCGCGACACGCCACCCCTTAAAGAAACAAAGAAATTTCTCTAAGGAAGGTTTATAGGTTGGCTTTGCTTGGTAAGGGGACAGGGCCTTTTTTTGTGTTGATTAGTGGTGGTGTTAGAACCAAACAGGTGTTGATTATGGGGAGGCAAGGGGGTTAATGATTCAACGGCGCATGAAGGCTGGTGACGTAGGCTCGTCGACAGCGAACGCCCGAAAAAAAAAAAAAAACAGCCACCCAATATGGGGTTCTAGGCTGGAGTTTGCACTTGAGCCCATGGTGGTCGCATGCATATGGCATTACTGCATAGGGCACTGTCGTGGCCAAGATTACATCAAGCAGCATGCAGCAACAACATCTCACTAGCCACATTGGTCAAGGCGGCGTGGAAATAGGAGACCCCCACGCCAGCAATGGCCGCGGGTGCACGCGTGCCGTTGGCATTCCAACGGTAAAATTAATTTTGGCGTTCTTATCTTTATCGGTCGTGTAGCCACCGCCGAAAACGGCGAGCGCCTCAGACACCTGAGGTGAGAAGGGTGAGGGGCGAAAAAATAAATCATCGGTATTGATGCATAATTTGCCACTTGCTACGCCACTACCGCCTAACCTGCAATTGACCTCAGTCGCGGCCGCCAACCGCGACTACAGCCCTCTGAACCAGCCAAACCCACCCCTGTTTCGCTACCCCGGTCCGATCCCTGAAGGATGGCCGCCATCATTCGCGGGCTAACCGAGAGTGCTGGGGTCGTTAAAGTCTGAGACTTGAGGGGCGAAAGTCATTTGCCATTGCTATTCCTGCATTTAGGCAAAAGATTAGTTTTTATAAATTTTCTTCGCCACATCCGACGTGGCTTTCCTATCCCAACCTCTGACATCCCACTGGCCTGAAACATCCACCCCTTAGTTTCAGCTTGCCCATACTTCTTCATGGCCAGCCACACCCTGAGTAGGGGGCCTGTCCCCACTACCTCGCCCCGGCCCGCCACGACGCCCACCCCGATGAAGCCGACGGCGCTAACCGCCGTCGACGACGACGCCATCGAGGAGGACGGTGAGCTCGAGGACGACGACGAGCTGATGGCGCTGCTGGACCTGTCGACGCCGACGCAGTCGTCTAATAACGTCAGTGGCGATGACTCGGTCACTGTCGGAAACGGTGTCGGGACTACTTCCGACACTGCCGACATAAGCGCCGACGGCGTCGCCAACGGCGCCGCGACTACTAATGGCGCCGCGACCGCTAACGGCCACGCCCACGGCGTCGCCAACGGCGCCGCCACTACCAACGGCCACGCCAGCGACGCCGCCACGCTAAACTCCCCGAGCAAAGTGCCGCTACATCTCCCGCTATTAGTGCGCCGCACCTTCATCCACCCGCAGTGCTATTACGACCACCCGGACCTCCAAGTGGAGCCCGTCAAACTTAAGTTCAGCGACGACCCCGCCGTACTCACCGAGAACTGGACGCCGGCGGAGGTCGCGGCGCTGCGGCGCATCGTGCGCTTCCACTTCACCCCCCACGAAGTCAACGTCGGCGGCGGCCACCCGATGATGGAGTACCACGTCGGCTTCGAGGCGATCTCCCCTAACGACTACGACCACGTGCTGCCGATCGTTCTGTGCATCTGGTGGCAGGAAATGAACTTGCACATCGTCACCTCGGTGGACATTATTGTCCTTCTCGAACACATGGTGCGCCAGCAGTTTTCTATTGAAGAAAAGAACCGCATCCGGCGCAACCTCCAGCTGTTGAAGCCGTACACGGTGGCGCGCACCAACCACCGCTTCCTCCCCTTCTTCAACTTGATTATGGAGATGGAGGACCCGCGCCCTCGTAATATCGAAAAAGATATTAAAGTGTTCCGATGGGCCGATCTCGGGCTTGCGCTTGAGAAAGTGCTCTTTAAGTATACCTGGAACGTGCCCCGGTTCCAGTTCTACCTTGTCCGCAAGGAGAACCAGTTCGGCCAGCTCCCGGCGCCGCCGCCGCCCAAGCACCAGCCCGACGAGTTTGTCAGCGCCGATAGAGTGCGCCGGATGCGCCGCCAGTGGAGCAAAGGCGGTGGCAGCGGCGGCGCCCACCACTTGCACACTAAGCCCACAAACGCCGAGTTGGCGCTGGCAGCGGCGCTCGCCAGTGGTGTCGGTGTCGGCGCCGGCGCCGCCCTGTCCACGCCCGGCAACTCGTCGAGCTACGACGACGACAACCTGGGCAAGAAACTGGGCGAAACCACGGTGCTGAACCTGACGCTGCTGGACGAAGACATGACCAACGGCGTCGGCTCGTTGCTGCTGTTGCTGCTGCTGGGCGGGTACCTGAACTCGGTATTCTCCGGGCTGCTGTCGCTGGCGGATTCGGAGGCGACGCTGGCGCTGGACGGGCTGGTGATGGCGCTGCGCAAGTCGCCGGACAAGAGCGCCCCCGCCGCCAGCAACGGCGCCGCCAGCGCCGACAGCGCCCAGCCGTTGCAGACGCGTTACCCGCTCCACTACTACCAGTTCCCCGCGGGGCTGCAGTTGCGCTACGACAGCAAGGCGCCGGTAGTGCCGCTGCCTGAAGTGCCATCGTCAGCCGTTGTCGGTGGCGGCGGCGCCACCGTGCTCCCGGTACCGCCGCTCGCCAAAGGCGCCACCACCTTGCCGCCCATCGCCACCATCCACCCGGGGATAGCGCTGCCGCCGACGGTGCTCTTGCCGCCCCTCCGCGACACCGCGCGCGTCGCCTACCCGCCGCCGCCGGCGCTCCCGTCGCTTTCGTCCGTCATCCCGGCGTCGCCAAAAGTGCCCGGGATATCGCCCCCCCACCTGCATCAGCTGCCGAGAAGCCGTTAGCCTTCCAAAGCTTTTCTTCCGTGCATATTTGACTTAATTTCTCATGACGTTTACGACCAATATAGCAAATCATCACAAAGCCATTTTTAATCCGTTAGGCGCAATATCAACTGTAAGCCACCTAACGTCATAGCACAACAGGGTAATAACATCAGTGCAGCAACAACTTTCGTAGTTCACCGACGTAGTGCGTTTCGTAAATTAGTTGTACCCAACACCTTCAAATTAATCAGTATCCGTAACATCAGCACCAGTAGGACTTCTGACTTTAGCAACACCAGTACATTCAAATAAGGCATCAGTAATATCAACACATTTCAATCATTGATCAGTGGCTCACCAATCAAAGCTCCAACGATGTATTGGCTTCAACCACTAATGAAGATCAAGGAGGAGTTTTGGAATTTGCAACCCTGAATCCCTTATGGAATACTCTGTTCGAGATCCCTTTGGCCTAGTAATCTCTCATTGTGACAACCACAGCCATATCAACACAACCGTCGTCTCCGTACTAGCCCCTTTCATTATCGCTTATGGAGACTGGCTGGCAAAATTGCGTCGACAGCAACTATTGCGCGGCAAATATGTTTTTTTTTTTTTGTGATTGGAGTTAGTGTGAGACACCAAAACATTAGGTCTCACATGCAAGCACGGCCCCAGGAGAACCTTCGCTAGCGCAATTGGTTCGTCAACCCTAGGGCTATGTAGGCGAAGAAGATAACTAAAACAATAGCTAGTTTTTCTCCAGAAAACTCAGCTAGTGTAGTAAGCCCGTTGCTGTGTTTTTTCCTGTTGGTGGAATTAGGTCAACGCTCGTAACCATAAGCTACAGGGTTAGTGACAGCGAGAGGGCTGTAAGCGATCACCAGATAGATTTCATCTGAGATAAACATACTGAGGCAGTCGGCGACATTCATTAGTTTTTGGGTGTCGCTGAGGAGGCGTGAGTGCCATAGTTTCCCTGCGTTAATTGTTCCAGAGGCGTCAAACCAGAATGAGTGTCAATTGAAGAATGAGAGATTTGTAGGATACTTTGAGTGATTCACAAACGAAGTTTTGTAAGATCAGTAGGAGTTACGAAATGGCAATATTGAAGAATCAGTACGATGAGTGGTAATAGTAGTGACAACCAAATTGAAATGCAAAATGGAGTTATAAAATCAATGATTGATAAGAAGTAAGTCAAACTGAATGATTACTGGTAATGAATAACTATACGTTTTGTCTATGTACGGGGTTTTTTAGCCTGGCGGGCGGCTTCGTCGGCGAACGAGTCCTTCAGCTCGATGTTGACCCCCAGGGGTTGAATGGTGACGACATTTAAGTAGTCTCTAGGTTCGGGGGCAATCCTGGGCGGCAGGGCGATCGGATTGGCCACAGTACCCCTAGAGAAGTTGACTGTAGGCTGGCTCAGTTTATTCCCCAGCTGAACGAGAAGGGTACGGGGACCGTAAACTTCAACAAAGTCGTCAGTTCCCGCAAGCCACAGCAGGGCTTGAGCCCCAGCAGCGTTAGCGGCACCGGTGACCCACTGCCACGCCCTAATGAGAGCAGGGGGGACGGGAGGTAATTCGGGGATATAGGCTCTCAACCCGGTCTTGGGAGGTGCCACTTTCACCACCAGCGTCGCCTGTGTCCCGTCCAAATGGTCCTCTTCAAGGGTAAACCGTTTCACGCACTGGCCAAGGTCTTCCGGGCCCAGCACCGTCACCGCAAGCAAGTTATTGCGGTTAATCGTCATCTTCTCGCCGTCACCGACGTTTATACGGTACACGGTACCGAAGCCAGCGAGCCCCACTTGGCCCCGGCCGCTCACGTGGGTGTAGGCCCCCCACTGGCGCCACTGTTTCGGCACCGGTTTATTCTGAGTGAAAAGGGCATTTCCCGTGTAAACAGACACCAGCGCCGGGCGAAGCACCGCCCAGTCCACCTGTCCGTCGAGAACAATACACGCGTACAGCTGGTCGGCCGCTGGCGGCGCCACAAGCACCGAAAAGGGAGTCGTCAGCACGAGCCGCTGGTAGGGCAGTCGCCACACGACGCCCTGGCGGATCCACTGAGTTCTCGAGCGGACGTTGGCGATGTGGTCGCCGTAGACCCCCAAGAGGCCGCCCCGGCGGATAAACAAGGGAACGGAGGGGGGGCTGTTTACCAGACACGCCGTCGCCGGGTGGCCCAAGGGCTCGAAGACGGGGGTCTCGAGCTCGGGCTCGGCGACCAAGTGGCGGACGCCGCTGACGGCGTTCAGCACCGTCTGCGGCGCCAGCACCACCGGCGCCGGGGCCTGGGCGATCAGGATCCTCCGGGTATGGCGCAACATGCTTTTTTCGCACCGTCGTAGACAATTGATTAATTGATTAAAACAGTGATACAACGATATAGAAGTGGAGGCAATTGACTGGATTATTCGATCATTGTTTATGTTTTAGAATCGACAGTTATCTGAGTTTTTAATTAAGTCAATAATGGAGATCGAAAAGACCACCGTTGTGTGGTTCTATTTACCAGGTTGTACGCGTATGATCAGAGTATAAAAGGGTGCGACTCCACTAATGAATTGTGAGTTTCACTTTGATAGGAATACGCCGGTTGGTCTGGTGGTGAGACGGATGGAGGCGTGGATCAATGGGGGATCACTAAAATTGAGTGTGTAAGTGGTAACTTCAAAGAGAATTGATGGTAAGTTCGTTGTTTGCTTAATTAGCCAATCGCCGCGCTGAGATCATCATTCGGTATGAATTGGCGAAAGCAATGCCCTAGCGATGGGCTTTTGCACCTATAACCTTACTAAGATGCAATTGCCATGATTGCCGCTAACCCCGAGATCATCGTTAAGCGAAACGTGTCTTATTTCAACGTGATTTCTACAAATCTGATTGTGTCTATGAAACCAAAAGAATTGCGGAAAAACCACGAGCCAGACGTGTGTTACTAGTACCAACGAGTGGTGATCAATCTGCTGTCATTTTCTTTACATTTGCACCTCTTTCCCTTTGCTTTGCACGTCTTCTACTACACGTTTCCCGTCCTTAACTTTGGCACTTTTTGTGCTAGTTAATAACGTGACTGTGAGCCATCGATGGTAAGCATTTGCAAGCATTGTAGGCTTATGTTTGCCAAACTACAGTACACGTATAGTACGGGCCACGCCGTCTTCCCCTCAATCGGCACCAGCCACTTCGAAATACGACGTTGACAATCCCGTCGTAAATTCCTCTGCGGTCGTCGCTTCGCACCCTAGCCACACCCGCTGCCACCACCGGGGTTCCATCTCGGGGTTCCGGGCTGCGTCAAGGTGGACCACCACGCAGGCGTCAGTGGCACTACAGCAGCATACAGCACGTCCTCCCGTAAGCCACCCTCAGTTCAGGCGGCCACCGATTCACGCCCGTCTGCCAGATAGCTGTTGCCGTCGTTTGCTGCTGCGTCTGCCATGGGCCCCCCCACTCGCCTCGCCGGGTTCCAGCCACGGCATCGGCGGGCGCGCGGGGCGCATTGCTGTGATGACAACGTCACCGCTCTAGGCGTAGAGCGCCGCCGCCGTTGGTAGCGTTTCTCAAACCACTGTTTCAAAAAGCTTAGGAAAAAACTTATGATATTTGTTGTGGGGTCGAAAAAATGCTATGAGAGGGCGATGTTGTTTTGCCCCATCGTTGGTGTTGCCGCCCCTGGCGAAATCGCGGTTGCGAGCCTTGAGCAGCCGCGGGTAATGCGACTTTTACAGGTTAGCACTCGCCACAAGTGGCATCGTGCACGCCGACGTCACCCCGCCTTGAACCCCATCACCATAAATCCCCGTTTCCGTCAGGCGTGACGACGGCCCCATCAAAAGTGTCCACCGCGAAATCATCCACTTTATGTCTCAAACACATGTCGGGTCTGTCTCAGCTCAGTTTTGTCTGAGACCTCCAACATATGGTAGGTGTCATTCTTTCTACCCCCTATAAAAAGCAGTCGTTGACATTGTGATCTCCGTGGCTTATACACACGGAAAATTTCAAAGGGCGAGGGGGGTGTGATTGCTCGAATTTGCCATAACCGCCGCCCGCAGCAGCCACGCCCCCAATGACCAAAAAGCACCAGCGTGTACTACCGGAAAACCCCCTACAATCTCTGCGGCGCTGATTACTCCTCACTTCTCTATTGGGTGTCTGCATAACGCCTATGTGCTGGAGGTATAGAAATTATGCAACTAAGAGCCCTTTTCGCCCGCCTGAATGTATTCGTCGGGTCGATTTGGGCTGCCCCCGTAGACGAGTTATATTTGTTCTGGGAAGCTTCGATTCCATAGTGTGAATCCAGCCAATTTGCGACTGACTAAACTCTAAAGAAGACAATGTGGGAGATGGCGTGACTGCCGTATTCGGATTCGTTTTCGTGGGAACCTTTTACGATATATGGTTTCCTGTTGAATTAGGAAGCGATGAGAGGTGGTACTCGGTTGCTTAATATTGCACTCAAAGTACATCAACTGTCTTCTTGGGGATTGGAAAAGTTTTTAGGGCTTGGAAGTTTATGTGAACCCGGATCCTGGTGCTGACATGAAGCCACTCAAACTTTCGACTTTGAAACTCTAGCTTCCTTCATTTATTTTATTTCAATCATGTATTTAGGGCATTAGAATACTGCTTCATTGCGATCTGTCTACACTGATTTACGATCTCACTGGAATGTTTCGCAATATCATACAGATGCCTGCATTTGGATTTGGAGGTTAACCAAATCCTTCCATGGAAGTACACTTCTGGCTGGTTTCCTGAAGAAAGATTCAGACGACTACATGTTGATTTCTGTCGTTGGTTTGGGGCTTTCCAATTAATTCGAGTGGAAAGCAAGAGATTGCGATCTCAGTGTGCTAAACGATCATTATAGATGATTTTCGTCAGAACACTTGACAAACGGGTAATTTTAGTTCCCCCTGTGCTTTGGTTCCTTGGACTTCTAGTAATTACCTTAACGCCGGTAATTATAGGTAATGATCTCACGATTCTTAACAATAATTATGGTTGTAGCCGAACTAGACGATAAATAATATAACACATGAACTTCCCAGGATTGTAGTATCCTGGAAAGTTCGATGTTCACCCACAAGTGCTAGTCGAGCTTCGAATATCAATACCACATTCAAGTATTGACGATGATCTCTCACGCCTCATGAATACAAGTAGTCAATAATGGTTCTCTACCCGCAAATGATTAGGAATCAAGTCGAATGGTATCAATCAGGTAGTATTTGTCAGGACTCTTTAGCACAAAACCAATGAGGACACTCGCCGACAACACCACCAGATCTATTACTAATGGTACAGTCGGCTGTGTAACCCGTCAGCGCTCTAGCATTTTGCAACGGAAAAGACAAAAACGTATCATAGAACTCAGTAGACAACTGCTTCAACCGTAGTGTCTCATCGATTCAAGCTAGATTGATTTATCTCGTTCTCTTGTGATCACGTGGGGAAGACTGGGATGACCATCGCCCCCGCCAAGGCCGGTAGCCTCACTCCACTTTCCAACAGACATTAGGCATGATCCAATCATATAAGCTTCGCCAACAACCATTCTATGGTGGCAATCGAACTTGCCCTGCTTCTACGATTGGTTCGACTTAATGTGAGGCTGATGCCAACACCTCCTGAGACATGTTTCACCAATATCTCTCGTATCTCCAGTTTATGCGAGCCAGTGTTTTTCTCACTGTACTCTACACTCCTCGCAAGCAAACAAACGCTGATCTCTCTCCAACGCACTCTCTCTACTCTACACCGCTCCCTCTCTCTCACCTTCATTTTCTCTGTCATTTCCTACACTCTGCCAAGCTCTTTAGCGGTCATTCCTCCTCGCTTTAACCGACTTTTCAACCCCATTGCTAACGGCACTGGCAGTCGGTGAGGCGCTAGCGATCGGTGCGACTGCGGCGACAACAGATAAACCAGCCGACACCGCCTACACTATGCCCAGCAAGTACCCGCCGAAGACGAGGCTCACGGTGGGGAGCCACCAGGTGGAGATCATCAAGTACATCAGCGAGGGCGGGTTTGCCACGGTGTACACGTGTCACATCCTGCCCCCGTTCATGGGGCTGAGTGTCGCCTGTCTCAAGCGGGTGGTGGTGCCGCTGAAGTGGCAGCTCACCTTGCTTCGCCAGGAGGTCGACGCAATGAGGCGCTTGCGGGACAACCCCTACATTGTGTCGTACATCGACTCCCACGCCGCCCGCTACAACCCGCTGGCATCGGCCCCGACCACGCCGGCGCAACCCCAGCAGTACGAGGTGTTTTTGTTGATGGAATACTGTGAAAATAACGGCTTAATTGACTTTATGAACACTCGCTTGGTCAACAAGCTCACCGAGCCCGAGATCCTCCGCATCATGTACGACACCGTTACTGGGGTCGCTATGTGCCACCACTTGGAGCCACCATTGATCCACCGCGATATTAAGATCGAAAACGTGTTAATTGACAAGCATCGCACGTTTAAATTGGCAGATTTCGGGCTGGCAGTGCCCTACTTGCCACCACCACAGTCATCGCAAGAGCTCCGGCTTCTCCGCGACGACATCATGCACCACACCACCCCTCAGTACCGTGCTCCTGAGATGGTTGACGTCACCAAAGGATTCCCCATTGACGACAAGCTGGACGTGTGGGCGTTAGGGGTGTTGCTCTACAAGCTCTGCTTCTACACCACCCCATTCGAAAGCTACGGCGGGCTCAAGCAGATGGAGCTGGCGATCCTCAACGTCGATCGCCTGCTTCGGTTTCCGAAACACCCATTTTCGTCGCGTTTGATCACCGTGATCAAGTGCTGCTTGCGGGCTGACCCTCGGCGCCGTCCCACTGCCACCCAAGTCTTGGGGGAAATTTGTGCCATGAGAGGTGTTCCTGTGCCCAACGTGGTACCTACACTGGTCCGTAAACTCCACGCGCAAACACACCAGATGGCACCGCTGCTGGTTCCCGCGTTGGCGACGTCGCCTGTGCGCAAGGCCAGTCCCTCAGACCCGTTCGCTCTGATCGACAAGCTGAGACTCTTGCGGCCTAAACTGGTGGGTGCTGCCGAAGCTTTAGAAAAGCCGCGCTCGCTGACGCTGGCCCACCTGCTTCAGGAATACATTTCGCAGATCCAGTCCACCGACAATGCTCTTCGCCAAAGCATTGACGACCAACAGCTGACGCTTGACTTCTTGCGCGACAACGACCGTCACAACACTGGGGGCAGCGTGAAACTGGCATTCCGCTCGCTCCGCAGAATCTCTACCGGTGGGCTGATGCTGTCGCAACATCTGGGGAGACGCCTGCTGATTCTGTCAATTAAACAGATTCTCACGGGCAACTCGGGTTCTCCCGAGGACGACCTGCCGCCTCCTCCACCGTCAATCCAGGGTCAACTCCAGAGCCAGCCTCAGGGCCTGGTGCTGAGTCGTATGCAAAAGCTCTTACGGTCGTCGATGGAAGTACCGCGTCTGGCACAGGGCTATGGCCGTTACACCGATACGCCCGACGACGATATTGCTCTGATAAATCTGGCAAAGACAGCCCTGAAACCAACGGCCCTGAAACCAGCACCGAAACCGGCTCCCAAACGACGCCAACCACCGCCGGTGCCTAAGCTGTTGCGGGCGCCGGAGGGACTCCAGGGGGTGACGATCCCGTCGCCGCCGCCATTAATGGGCAAAGACCATCTCAATAAGCTGGCCACGGTACCGGCATTGAAGAAAACCCCTCCTAAAAAACCGAAAAAGCCTACGCATTTGAAGCGGGCGCAAACTGACGACATGCTCGACATTGACGCCATGGAAAAGTCATTTGCCCAGCGGTACCCTTCATACGTTTAAATCACGGAATTTTATCACTGAACCAAAGCATTTATACAATAGATATATAGACATGAACCGAACAATTAATTTGTTGATCACCATGTATTGCCATGAATTTTTGAAAAGTAAACTGTTACTTAGTCAAGAGTCAACGTTTGCAGCATTGAGCAGTAGCACTAGACCATTGATTCTGAATTGACGAGCTTATCCTTTCCAGTAACATGTTCGTCACTTACCATTCGAACCAGCGAATGGCAGTGACGGTCAATGAGGATTCAAGTTCTGTGAATTAGACATCATCACGAACGCCTCGCGATGCTGGGCCGAGGTAGCGACTGCTTCCAATGACGGCAAGAGGAGCATCACTGTGATCATGGGCATCGGGAGCACCGCCCACTAACAGCGCCACGGGGACCGTGTGCAGCAACAATGCCAGCTTCACCCGCTCAGCATCAGCTATCTGGCACCGCACAATGGCATTGGCACCCTCGTGATGGATAATATCAAAGGGAGACAGTTGGCCCACAGCGCCATACATTTGGTTAAGAGCGTCAAGAACGATGGTTTTCCACGAGATCAAGTCCACCTGGTCAATGATACGCCCACTTTCAGGCGGCAGCACCACCGACACCGCCACATAGTACCATTCAGACATTGTCAAGCGGGTATTTGTGAGGCCCTCAGGATCAGCTCATCGCCCGCACGCGTGGTTGGTGATAATTATGTGCAGGCCGAGTCTGGCGCGATTGTTAGCCATACACAACTTGAGCGCTTAGAGCTTAACCAAAATGTGGGAGGCCCTTCAGGATGACGAAGGGCGGACCTACTACTACAACCAAGACACCCAGGAGACGCTGTGGGAGCTTCCCGAAGGGGCTGAGCTCAAACAGGAAGACTCGGCCGAGCCTATCCGCCGCATAGGCGAGTGGCTGGTGTACACTACTGATGACGGCCGTGAGTACTATTACAACGAAACTACCGGTGAAACCACCTGGGACAACCCTGAAACGACCCCTGAAAACGAAGCGGAGCTGGAGCTTGATGCTGAGCTCAAAAAGCAGCCGATTGAGGAACTCCCACAAGTGAAAAGTGAAGACGCTGAAGCCACATTTAAAAAGCTTCTCAGCGATAATAACATTGACGCCACGGTGCTGTTCCAAAAGACAATGACGATGCTCATTTCTAAACCCGAGTACTGGGCCGTTTCTGACTCCCTCCGGCGTAAACAGATCTACGATGAGTATTTGGCTGAGCTCGCAGAGAAACAAGTGTCGTCACGGTCAGAAGCGGTGGCAAACTTCAAACAAAACTTTCACGACGTTCTCGATAAGTATGTCGCTTCCGAGAATCTTGATCATAACACGCGATGGTCTACGATCAAACGACAATTGGAAAGCGACGATAATCCATTATACAAGCACGCAGTGGTGCCTGAAGACCAGGTGGTGGGCATTTTCTACGAGTATAGAGATAATTTGAAGAAGGCTCACGAGGAGCAAGAGCAGGCTCAAAAGAAGCAAGCACTCAGCGAGCTCGAGACGTACCTCGTCGATGTCAACCCTGAGCTCACGCAGACGTCTGCTGACTGGGAGCAATTGTGGCAAGCACTTCAAAACGATCCTCGCTATCAAGCTAATCGCCACTTTGACGTATTAGCCCCGGCTGACGTGTTGGAGCTTTATAGTACAAAAATTCTCCCCGTCATAGTGAGCAATCTTCAAAAGAAGGTGGATGCTCAGCGCAAAGTGAACCAGAGACGGGACCGAAAGGCGCGGGACGCCGTTAAGCAGGTCCTTGCTGGTCTCGACATCAAGGCGACGCTGAAGTTTAGCGAGGTGTGGCCTAAGTTGGCTAATGATCCCGCGGTGAGGGATCTCGCTGGACGCAATGGCTCTCTGGTTCCGGAGTTGTTTTGGGATATTGTCGATGAGAAAGCCCAGACATTGCGGGTGGCGGTGGACATGGTGAGTGAGGTACTCGCCACTCAAGGCCACGGTTATCTTAAGGGCTTATCTTCGGCTGACGATCTAGAAAAAGCACTCAAATCAAGTGACGATACACGAGTGTCTCAATTGGACATTGAGATGGCATTGCTTTGGGAACAGCTTGTTGCAAAACGTGATTCTGTATATGCTCAGGAGGAAACAAAATTGGCCACATCCATGGCCAAGGAAGGGAAGGCACTCGATGACAATGACCCTTTAGTCAAAGAGCTTGTTGAGAAATTCTTTGGCAACGATTCAGAACGTTTCAAGCAAGCTATCCAACGCATTGGTGCCTCATTGGCAAAACGCAAACGGCCAGCTGAAGACGATGACAAAAAGAAGAAACGAGTGGTTCTTAACTATTAATCTCGATTTAGCATAACTCAACTCACGAGAAGTGGAATGAATTTACATTGTTTCTTACATTTTCGCTATCGATTGCTACACTATTTCATGATGGATAGCATACTCGCTCAACGTTCGAGAGTAATGACTCGTCGCTATTATTAATGTATATTCTGGGGATACTTCATCAAGACAAAATTAGGGGCACTGGCAGTGGTGAGATCTTTAAAAGGCAAGTTGAGTGCTGTCTTGATATTACGTCATGTACGGATGTCGCTATAATTGCACTCCCCCAAATGGCACCACTGTCTGCCATGCAAGTATAAATACTCAACCTCCTTGGCAAGATATAGGTAGCAATATTGACAATGGCCGTACCGAATTTCGACAATGAGCTTTGCCGCGATTTCGGAGAGTATCTCGCCTTTGGCTATTACATTTGGGTCCAGCGTCATTTACCAGCAGGCACCCGGTTAGACGCTGAGTTTGAGGCCCAAGCCTTTCGATTCCTTCAACGACCTGTGTCGCCGCTTCAACGACCTGTGTCGCCGCCTCAGCAACCTGTTGCTGATGAGGGTTATGCTAGCCATGGCAAATGCTTCATTTGTGGCAGAGTGGTGAAAAACAATCTTGCTTACCATATGAAATGCCATCACGACTACAATAATTGGGACTTTAATTGCAAGTTTCGATGCCTCGGAGAGTGCAACAGGGTCAAATATAAGAGAAAATACCTTTCGAATTGCATATTACATATGGTAACATGCCACTTCAAGTTTGACAACGACGATATCCCCAAATCCCGCAAAATTGACGAAGTATTGGAGCATAAAGGGAAGTGTCGGTGTGGCTACCACGAGGTAGCAAAGAAGTGGCTACGCGACCATGTGTTGACGGACGAATGCCCCTTGATAAGACCCCAACCTGTGAGACCATCACCGCCTCCCCACCAGTGCACTATTTGTGGCAGACGCTTTGAAAATCGTGGGTCTTGTATCAGGCATGAAAAGACGCATAGAGGCACCTGGGACTTTAATTGCAAGTTCCGACAACTCGGTGTGTGTGGCCTGTACCGCGGCCCTTCCGGACAATCCAGATATTGCATCAAACACATGCTCCACATCCACTTCAAGTTTGACGGGATCAAGAGACCATGGAAACTCAAACGAAGTATTTTGTTGCAGAAGTACGGGGAATGTGCATGTGGCTACCACGGCTTAGCCAAAACGTGGGTGGATGAACACGTTTTGGGTGACCAGTGTCCTTTAATCGACGCACAGTTCGAGTCTGACCATGAAGAATAAGTTGCGGTTTGTATTTGAATTTTATTCAACCATATTATTCGGAAATTATAGGTATATTGTAGTTCGTAGTCTCCGTAAGACACAATGCTACGAAGTTGCGAAAATTCGAAAACGGATGTTTTGGTAATGACACGATCATTTTATCGAATTGAGGTTGACACTACCCCTTATCTAGAATAGACTGCTTCCTGAAGAGTATACTGCGATACAAATCGTAATTTGTGGATAGATTTGTGCATTGATCTCACGATGAACTTTCCAAGACTTCTAGTATTAGAGTTACTTCGATTGTCGTAAGTTTATTAAGTAACTAGCTACTACGAGCTACCACTCACAACCAATTTTCTGAGATGGTCCATGAACACTTGAAGCGATACGTCGTCAGTCAAGACAATGGCACCGTTTTGCGTAGCGAACTCGTTGGAGTTGTACGTAGTCGAGGGGTTAAGCTTCGACAACAAGAACCGTGCCTGGGACCCGCCCTCTTCCGTGACAATGTACCGAGGCAAGGGGTAACGATCCACTAACAACTCCTTAGCCTCTTGCTTGGGTTCGTCAAGCAATTGGCGGAAGTTCTCGTACTCGGGTTGATCTTGGTACCCCGCCGCCTTCCATTGAGCAATGGTTTTCCCGTGGAAAATCAAAATGTGGAAGAACGTGTCCAACAACAAGATCCGGTCGTCCTTGATGGAAACCGAGTCCAACAACACAGGCTCGGGCTCGCCGTCCATCGAGTACAGCGTCAACGATGGTTGAATCATCGTCAACGAGTTGTTGGTGTCTTCCGTCAATAACACGTGGCGGTAGAAAGCAGTTTCATCGGGCGAGTTGTTAAACACTTGTAAGAACTGCAGCCGGCGCAAGTAATAAATGAATTGAGGGTAGAACCAGAACTGGTTGCCGAGACGGAACGACTCTGGCTGATCCTTGCGGTAGTCGGCAAACTTCTGGCACAACCGGATAAGCATACGGTCGACCCAACGCAAGACGTCGGCACCGTCGTCTTGTTCCAGCTTGAACAACGTCACCCGAGCCATGAGCACCGCGGCTGCCTCTTGGTCGAACAGCTGGGTCAATGTCTGCTCATCCAGAGTCATGAAGTTCAGACAGGTGGTAACTCTAATCCGGTAGCTACCCAGCGAGTGTTGGTATTGGGTAATAAACTGAATGTACAGTTGAGAGTTCTGGGGCATCGCCTGGGTGTTGACGACATCGAAGAAGATACCGTAAGTGTGACGCGGCAGCATCAGACACATTCTGTACGACGAGGTGCCACCAATACCAAGCTCGTTGTCCAGCACGTTGGCCAGCTTGATACCCAACAGGGCGGCGTGGCCAATTAAACCCAGCACCTTGAGTTCTCTCGAGGTCTTCACGTCCAAGGTACCGTTAAAACCCATCAACAAGTAGTCGTCGGCGTCCTTGTTGAACAATCTAAAGAACGACTGCTTGAAGATGTTGGTGGTGAAAGCATCTGAAAGCAACAACGTACCCCCGGTGTTGTTGGCCAAGTTGCGCATTTCCATGAACCCAATCTGGTCATAGCAACCGGCAAAGATGTCGACGGTGTGGGCGTTCTTCACCGCCTTCGCCGCAAGTCCGTCGTAGAACTTCAACGCCTTCTTGTAGTGCTTGGCGTTGTCCTTGTCGATGTCGGAGTGCGAACGGATGGGTTCCTTCAATTGGTCACCCACAATCAAACCCGGGTTGAGAGTACCGGCACCGGCCAGGAAAAGCATCACCCGAGCACCAAAGCCAGGGTAGGTCAGGCCCAAGAGGTTAACGGCCACGTTAAGGGCACTACCGGTCGAGCGCAAGGGACGGTGACCGGGCTTCACGGGCCACGAGTCCACCCGCAAGTTTTCCAAAACGTTGGTCAATTGGAATTCAACTTCTTCGACGGGGAGGAAGAACCGCACCAACAGGTTGGCGAACTGAGGCTGCTGGCCTTGAGGCATGAGCGTGGGCTTGGCCAACATCTCCGAGATCTGCTTCTCGGTGTACTCCTTGTCACCACGGAAGATGTACAGCTTGGCGATCTTTTCCAGGGCCAAGTCGTGCACTTGGACGATGGTGCCGAAAGTGATCAACCCCACAAGGGCGTTGGGGGGCAACAACGACAACGAGGTCACCAAGGTTTCCTTTAACGCCTTCAAGTTGTCTTCATCTTGACACAAATCGACAAGGAAGAGGAAGATAGGCGGTTGCTGCACCGGTCTCAGCGTAATGTACTCAATCGTCAGCGACGTGGGTTGCAATTCCACGGGCAAGTTTTCCGGCAGCATCCCGTGGTAGTGGCCCGGCAACTGGTTGCGAGCCTGACAGAGAGGACATCTCCAGAACCCGGTGGGGTCAATGTTGCAGTAAGGGTTGAAGATCGCCTTACAGTTCTGGTTGGAGCAGAAGATCGGGTCGTAGTTGACGGTGGGCAAGTCGTCGCGGAGTTTGAGCGGGGTGTAGAGAGCCCCCGTGGGCACGACAATCTTGCCGGCCTCGCCCTTGGTGGCAGGGAACGCGTTCCACGCAAAACGAACCCCGTTGATTTCTTCGGCTTCCTCGAAGTTCATATGGATGGTGGTCGAGGTTGAAAAAAGATTAGGTGTTAACAACAACGCGGTTCGCGGAGTGCATATAGTCAAAGATGGGGACACGTAGAACCTGGGGATAAGCCTTGACAGGGCAATAGCAACGGCAAATTGAGAACTAAACAAGTTGATTTAGGGTTTTTGGTTTGATTTCGATGGTCTTCAAGTTTTAGTAATCTTGTTCTCGTGGTTATCGCGAGCTTATTGAGAGCAAATGTCATATGGAGATGAGTTGAAGGGAGCCCTGGGGCATTTAATGCTCGTAATCGACGTAGCATGCTGACAGCAGACACATTGGGTGTAATTATGTGTCAATTTAGATAGCCGTATGTGGAGTGAATGGCTTATGGCTGAAGTGATCTTGAAATTTCTCATTTTGAGCAAAAACGTGGAATTTTGAAGAGCAAGAGTTGATGATTGCTATCTAACCAAAATTATCAAATGTGGTAGGTGGTAGAAGATGAAGAGGGAAAGATATTCAACGGTAAAGAACTACCAACGACTTACATCCTGATTGAAACTCCTTGTAGACCAATATCGCTGTAACAAAGACATTCACAACTCCATGGTGATTGTCAATAACGTTGACCATCGTATTCCCGCGAGCAGAGCTGCACCCAGGTTATACCTGTCATACTCAAAGATCAACGCAGGGTGGGGCGACGATCCCGAGGCCGTTGTGGGGCCATCTCGGAGTTTCTCCGAAAAAACTACGATGAGGAGAAAAAGCCACATCAACCGCGTAAGGTATCCTTCCCGATGCACCATATAATTGACTCATCCGATTATTCCCGCAGCCCACCACCCGAATCAGCGGGCTTTAGGCTCATCTCGCATGGCGATGGCTGAATATTTACTCGCTTACCTAACCGTTACTGAAAGTGGCATGCGGCATCGGTACCCGCTTAGAAGAAACAGTAATGCGGCGTTGTTCCACTTCTTTAAATAAATATAGAGTTTGGGGCATCTCTAAAACTCGCTCACGCCTACCCTAATAATTCGTGGGATATTTCGAAGCCAAAGGTGTTCCCTAAGCTGGTTGCCACAATACTGTTGTTTTCTGCACTGGCGTTCTTTGGCCACGTTGCCAGCGCCTACATGCGGCACTCGAAATGCCTTTGCAAAAACGGTTCTGCATCGTTGACGGTGCGCGATCTTCTCATCGCTCGGGTGCTGCTTCCCGCTACAGCAGCGAGACTAAGCGCCTACGTACGTTTCGCCAGATGTAGCCGCCGCCGACCTCGGACTGCTCTAAACAGTGTTGCTCCGAGCCCGATGATCATGAGGTAGGCTCCGATTGACGTCTAGACCTGCTCCGGCGTGCTTAGCCACACTCCGAGTAGCCCCTCTTTGCTGTGCCTTGAATAGCCGCTACTAACCGATTTTGACATCAAGCCCCGCCGCCCCCACCGGCAATCGAAGGACGTGCCCCTCACTGTCTACCCCAATCCTGATAACCGTAGACCCTCTGGCTGAGCAAACCAGCAAATAACCGTTGCACCACCGTTAATTCTCGGCTGGTGGTGGAGAGTTGCGGGAGGGGCTTCCCCTCCTTTCGTGCATATTGACACCGTTGGGTGTCTAAGGCCGTGACTCATCCTCTCAACTGACGTCTCAACAAACACAGACAAATGACCTTAGGCAGTTTTTAAACACAGTGACTGTAGTCGGTACTACAACCTCTGGTTTAGCTATTCTGAGAAGGTAGAGTGGTGTTTCACCCTCACCACATCCCCTAGGTTTCGCGGTTGCCTCGCCCGCAACCCCTACTACCAAAAAAAAACGCATCTCTGTGGCATTATTGTAAGCGGCGTTTGTGCAACGGCACAAGTTGCGTGTACCGCCTCTAGCCAGTATATAAGCCTTTATGTCCCCAGACGCTTATCAATAATAAAAACCCCGTGCCTCTTTACACCATATCCATGACCCAAGAAACTTTTGTCACCCATAACGAGTTCCGGCTGGACACGTTCACCGTGCCCACGAAGCTGATGATCGAAAAGCTGTTGGTCAACCTGACCTTTGGCGACTCTGTGTACAAGGAAGACCCCGCCACTCTTGAACTTGAGGCTAAAGTGGCGAGAATGACCAAGAAGGAAGCGGCGCTCTTTTGTGTGTCGGGGACGATGCTGAATCAGCTTGGGTTGAGAGTTAACCTCGTGCAACCGCCTTACCTGATCCTCTGTGACCATCGGGCTCATGTGTTCTTGCACGAAGCCGGTGGTTTGGCCACTTTGTCTCAGGCTATGGTCCACCCCGTCATCCCTAAGAACGGTGACTACTTGACCCTTGAAGACATCATTGACAACTATACTGCCGACGATGGTGACATTCACGCTGCTCCCACCAAGGTGATCTCGTTGGAAAACACTCTCCACGGGATCATCACTCCGTTGGAAGAGATCGCTCGCATCGCTGAATTTGCTAAGGAAAATGACATCAAAATGCACTTGGACGGGGCCAGACTCTGGAACGCTGCTGCCGAAACCGGCCACTCGCTCGCTGACTACTGCCAGTACTTTGACTCGGTGTCGTTGTGTCTCCTGAAATCGTTGGGGGCTCCCATGGGGTCGATTTTGGTTGGGTCGCAAAAATTCATTGACAAGGCCAACCACTTTAAGAAGCAAGCCGGGGGTGGTATTCGCCAAGCCGGGATCGTTACCCTGATGGCCATCACTGCCATTGACGAAAACTTTGACAAACTTAAAATCGCTCACGCCTACGCTAAGAAAGTGGGTAAGTTCTGTACTGACCACGGCATCATCCTTGAGCTGCCGGTGGATACCAACTTTGTGTTTATCGACATGAAGCGCAACAACATGGACTCGAAGTACCTCGTGGAAGTTGCTGAACGTAATGGTGTTAAGTTGATGGGGGGCCGAATCGCGTTCCACTTCCAATTGAGCGAAGACCTGGTGAACCGGGTGTGCGATCTGATTTTGGAATGCTACAACTACAACCAGGAGCATCCGTTCGTCGACCACTCCAAAAACAACAAAAAGATGTACAACTTTGAAATGTTGCAACGCCACTTGGTGTCGCATTAATGGCATGGGTAATGAGATTATGATAATGATAGACTAATGAATAGAAGTCCTTAATACGCATTTGAACGCATTTGTAGTAGGATTTGAGTGGTTACAGCCTCAATTAAATTCAGAAATGACCGCAATGGACGTAATTATAATTTCGCGATGCGCTAGAGTCATCTGCGGCCATATGCATTTGATGGAATTAGTTACATACATGTTATAGAATGTGAAAAACCAACAATACTGATCCAGGTTGAAAATTGATAGAACACTCTTCGTCACGCTGGTATCATGAACGCAATCCGTTAATACGCCTGTTGTATTAAGTTGGGTGAAAGTCGTGTACTACTCGAAATAGCCAAACGTAAAAAGGG